TTATTTAACTTCCAAGCTAATATTTCAATGATACACAATTATAGATTTGTTTCTGAAATCGGTTTATTGTAATATTAGTAGCTTAATTAGTTGCAAAACGAATAAAATATTCATGTAATTTAATCCCAAACATTCTAGCACTTTTTTGCAAAGGCGTTTCTTCTGCTTATTACAAAACGTAAATACAGAATGATAAACGGAACTACCAAAATAAATGAATTGATCGAATATAACCTCACCAACTTCATCAACCCTGAACTTTAATTGCCAACTTCAACCTCCAGATTCAACTTTCAATTTCAACCTCAAACTTCAGCTTTAGAAATTCAACTCCAACTTCAACTTTAAGCAATATAACTTCTCCAACTTTGCCTGTTCAACTACAAAAGATGCAATGACAATTTAGAGTTTTCTCATGTCCATACCTCACCTCCATCTGCTATATGAACAGCCTGAATAATTTAGAGCTTACTATTGAGCTTACTTGCTCTTATTACTTATTACAATATAATTACTCATTAATTATATATTTTTTTCGAGCAAGGAGCGCGTGCTTTTAAACTAGCAACTACAAAGGCAGCTGAACTCAATGTTTCTATACAAAGAATTATATATGATGGATGGGATATGTGCTCAAATATCATTTCATACTAGGACTTTCGAAATTTGTTTATCTTATTTTGATGTGTGAGTCATTTTCAGGATGACGAGGCATTTAGAAAATTTTTCTTTAAAAAAATACATATTCGAATTACTATTTATAAAAATTCTGTCTGCGATTCGAGGATTTCTTATCCTTATAACTTGAGCAATCAGTACACTTTTAGGTTTGGAACATAAAATAAAAATATATAACATTAACTTGAAATAAAGCTTAATAAATGATAGGTAACAGAGAGAGTTTGAAAAGGTAACGGAGAGGAAAGGTAACGGGAGATAAAAACAAACTCTTAGAAAAAGTTGTGCTGTCTTAAACAGTTTTCATAGAACTAATTTTATTACGCTAAAGTTGTTTTTTGTTAAATTATATAAGGAAATAAAGCTTAATAAATGATAGGTAACAGAGGGAATGGGAAAAGGTAACAGAGGTGAAAGCTGATGGGAGCTAAATTTTAAATTCTCTAGCATTGCAAACTACTGAATTTTAGTAATATAAATATTGATACCTACCTATATTTCTTTCAATAAATTTAATATTTAATGGAATGCTAAATTAAAAGTCAATAAATAAAGTAACCATGACCAAGGTAACAGAGGTAAAAGGTAACAAGAGGTAAAAGATAATGCGAGTCAATTTATTTGGACATATTTAATTGAAAAGAATATTTGTTCATATAAAACTGAAAACCGTGATTTGATTTTAACATAAAAAATCAATCACATGAATGTTTAAACAAAAAATTTAAAGCAATTATGCTAGTAACAAAAAGAAAGATTAATAAAGCATCCATAGCTTGCAAAAGCTTTATTGTCTTGAAGTGTAGCAATATAATGACAATAATTAGAATGGATATATTATCTAAGAACAGTTTATTATCTATATATTTAGAAATGCAACTTTATCTACATCCAGGAAGCAGTAGGATTCAATTTTGCCAATTCAGCAGAAATGATTTAACCCTTTCGCGCCGACTGTCACAAATACGTGACAGCAAAAAACCGTATCAGTCAGATTAAGAAGATAAAACTGGTAATCAAAGTATTTCTTTAGCAGTTTATTTGTAGGCGGAGTTATTATTTTTTGATTTATTTAATTCACCATTACTTTGTTCAAAATAAAACTATTTAGTTATACTTTGAATTAACATTGATTATTAAACTAACAATAATTAAAATAAAAGCAAAGTAAGTCTGTCAAATTAGTAACGACTACATTTAAGTTACCGTTTTTTATTTAATTCCAACTTGATTCTGATTTTGTACGAATGCTTTTCTGAATCACCCGTCCCCAAGGGGTTAATACAGTAATTATGGTAACAGAAGGAAAACATACTCTCAAGACAAAAGAAAATGTTCAAATTTTACTCAAAAGTAATTTTAAAATTACATATTAGAAAAAGCTGTGTTGTCAATTACATACAACACAATTTTCACTACTGGATAAGTTAAAATTACTATTAATTAACTACAGGTTTAATTACAGTAGAATAAGAAACAAAGAAGGCTTGAACATTTTTCTTTAGTCGTATATGACGTAATAAAAAGGTTTTTCATAAGCATTATTTTAAAAATATTATTTTCTATGTATTCTACCTAGACTAAAAACATGACTAAAAGCACATAATGAACTAATTTAAATGTTTAATGTTTACTTGGGATTTTATTACGGAAATTAAAATTACTTTAAGTCCTATGACATCAAAAGTAGTATTTTTGTAAACTACCTAAGCAGAATAAAATTAGTATCTTGAAGATAAGAAAGATAAATATCGAAAGAAAATAACGAAAGATTTCTTTTATTATTTTGCTCGTTTTATTTGAATCATTGTAAAAAATACAATCTAGGCACTTATGCACTGCGACTTAATTTTTTTAACGCTTATTTATTTGCATTCAGAGCTTCAAATTTCTGAGATAAATTTTTATTTAAAGTGACAATTGAAAATCTACTTTTACTTATTATTTAATGTTATTCGGGATTTTATTTCAGAAATTAAAATTACATGAAGTCCTATTACAGCAAATATGTATGCTTTTTTTGTGAATTTCTTATACAAAATAAAATAAGTAACCTAAAGATATGATATCAAATTAATGTAAAAATTAATAACAAATGAAAATAACAAAAGATTTCTTTTATTATTTTGTTCGTTTTATTTGAATCATTGTAAAAAATACAATCTAGGCACTTATGTTTAATTTTTAATTTTTTTAATGATTTAATTTTTTTAATGCGTGCTAATTTTCATTCAGAGTTTCAAATTTCTGAGATAAATTTAAATTTAAAGTGACAATTGAAAATCTACTTTTACTAATTGCTTAATGTTATTCGGGATTTTATTGTTATTTGGGATTTTATTGTTATTTGGGATTTTATTGTTATTTGGTATTGATAATGTTATTTGGGATAAAATTTAAAGTGACAATTGAAAATCTGCTTTTACTAATTGCTTAATGTTATTTGGGATTTTATTTCAGAAACTAAAACTATTTAAAGACACTATGACATCAAAAGTGTATTATTTTTTTGTGAATTACATAGACAGAATAAAATAAGTATCTTAAGGATATGATATCAAATTAATATAAAAATTAATCATAATTAATCAAATTAATATAGATTAATCTAAAATAACAAAATATTTCTTTTTTTATTTTATCTCTGCTTCGTTTTATTTGAATCATTGCAATTGAAAAGCTGCTTTTACTTATTTGTCTATGTTCGATTCAACTCGATTTGCTTGCAATGCTATTGTATAATTCAACAGAACTTGATGAAGTATAAGTTAATATTTTAGTCATTATTATTATTTGCAATTGTTTTCGATAATTTGTAGATTAAAAGGAAAAATGATTTATGATGTAAAGTGAGTAAAGTAAAAAAAAAAAAAGAATAACTTTTATAACTTTTGATCTTGTGGTAAGGATAGAATTAAGTATTTTAACAATTCGAAGGTTTAAGTCAAACGTTAATTAATTAAAGAAGTTGATATTTTTAGTCACAAAATCAGACGTAAAAATGCACTTTCTATGCATGAAATTGCTTTCCCCCCAACTTATTTAGATTCTTGACCATCAAAATAAAGGGATTGTCATAATCTGTTAATTAGCCATCATAGTTTAACCAGAGAAGTGGCCATAAGTTTAGCGTCGTTATTAGCATATTTCTGTATAAATAAGGAGTAAAGTAGATTACATATTTGAAGTCAGCAATGTGAAAATAAAAATTCTCATGCAACAGAAAATAAAAGAAAAATTTGTGACTTAGTGTAATATAAGTTTAAGTTAAGTCTCTAGCAGTCATCATATGGCACAAAATCATCCAAGTTTCTCCTCGATATAATCAGCACAAAATCATCTAAGTCTCTAGCAGTCATCACATGGCTCAAAAAATAAATAAATCGTGTAAAGGAATCAGGGGACCAAAAAGCAAAATTGCCAATCCACAAATGTGAGTGTATTAATGAATGAGTAAAGCGCTGGATGAATCATTAGTATATAATGAATTAATGAAAAAAAGGAATTAAAAATGTGTTAATCATTTAATATGGCAATCAATGAATCAGTAAATCAATGAGTCTATGAAGCATCAAATCCTTGACTCCATGAATCTCTGTATCAATATCAGATTTTGTCTTCATTTTAAATCATTAAACCATGGTTATAAGTTAGTTTATATATTTTTTAACATGCATCATCTTTTTCAGAATACTTTGAAACATAATTTATTAAACCAAGAATCAACTATCAAAACCTTTTGACCTCTTGAAAAATTAAAGCCACATCAATCACTTGAAAAAGATCTTCTGCTGGAAGCTTAAAATTTGCCAGCTGTTTCCAGAAATTAAAATTTAGAACTTTTGCTTAGAGCAGTTAATAATGTAAACTTATCGAACAGAAACAACTTTTGATTGTTTCATAATTACATTACGATATATTAAGTAACGTTAGGTATTGTTTAGTAATTGTAAATGTCACTCATGTTTTTATATTTCGCAAAATGAATGCAAACTAATGTGAAGAGTTCGTTAATAAGATTTTTTTTCAACTAGATGAGTATACAATTGTATTAAATTGGTTCCTTTCGTTAAAAAAAACTTTTATTTTTCTGTTAAGTAAATGCAAATTGTATTAATTTTCTTTGAGTGCGGTGATTTATTCATGATAATATTAAAATTGCTAAATTGTGATGAAGTAAAAATGAATACACTAATCATTTAAAGAAAGCCTTTTTTTGTCTGACTGGAGTTTACGAAGCAGATTTTCAGTGATATAAAAAAACGCAAGCATTATTATTTACAAAATAATGTTATCAGTAAAGCTTTGTTTCTGTTATCAAGTTATCTTTAAACCTTTTCAGAAACATATATTGCAGTTTTTAAAGGATATTAGTTAGCTTAACTTCTAGGCAAGCGACAGAAACATGGGGTCAATTATTGCAACACCCATTACTTTAATATGTTCGCTTTTTTCATCGGAACCATTGAGTAAGTAATTAGTTTTTATGTACTATTGAACTATAAAGATTACCTCCTCCTCTTTTTTTTCTATACTTTTTAATATTTTTGTCATAAATTTTACATTTATTTTATTTTATAACCGTCGTTGAACAGCAAACCCAATTTCTTTTTAATTACGACTGCTAATATTCAACTCCGTAGCCTTGTAATTTTGAAACTAATCCAAAAAACAAAGGAACTCCTGGATCAAGTATGGAGAGAAATTTGCTTTCATAAAGAACTTTGAAATGGAACTAACCCGCATTTCTGTTACAAGGAGAGGAAGACCACTAGAACCTCCTACGGTTAGCCTGACGACAAGGGGACTCTAACCCCATGATTCATCTATCACTGAGCACGTCAGCACTGTGGTCGGTGCAAGCAAGTAGGATGCGGAATTCGTATTTAAAATGTCTCGTTTCTTTTCAAATATTGGCGAAAAATGTCACTGTTCTCCTACACCTACTTAAATTTTTTTAAAGAGCTACTACGAAATAATGCAATTTAGTAAATATTAAAATTACAGTGCGTCTACTATTAATTAGCAAGATAATAGTTTTATGCTTGCGGTAGAGTCCTTACAAAATGGAACATGGCTTAAGAGCGTTTGCACCTGGTATTTTTGAAACTAATTTAAAACTGATTTAAAGAGAGAATGCTTGGAATGTTAATGTTGCTGAATGATAGCATAGCATCTTGAAACCGCTGAAATATGTTCAAACAAAATAAAAAAATCATCAGTATCAATAATCAGTGCGAAAGTATTTAAATGCAGCTGCTAATTTGAGACAGAAGGGTTATGTATTTGTTATTCCCTTTTATGAACGCCTTTATGGACCATGATTGGCACACAGGAAATGAATAGCATCGTTATTGTTCGCTATTTTTAGTTTCGAATTGAAGCTACGAGAAGAATTGAACTTCGCACAGGTTATCTCAAAATTACCGAATGAAAAAGCAAATTAGGTTAACTAGATAACGCTCTTGTGATAACCATTGAAAACAGAATAGTTGTATGCCTTTTTATGGCTTAAATATAATATTTTGGTTTACTACAAATGAAATTAAATCGTAACACGTTTACCTCTTAGATTAAATGTAATCATCAATCTGCAGTTATTAGTTATATGTAACTCAGGAAAGAGGTTATATGTAACTCAGAGAAATATGACCAGTGCATAAAACGATGTAATACATTTATTTCTGAACCATGTGTAAAACATTGGATGTTTTCTACTATTATCTTAAGTCTTCGAATCACGAATCCATGATTTTAAATAAAAACATTTATTTCAAAACTTTTTATTATTTAGTTGAGGAAATAAATCAGAGCATTGAAGAAAAAATAAATAATGTTACAAGTGGCAAATTTTTAAATCGAATTTATTGAAGTTTTTTTTTGTTGCTCTCTTTTATTAGACTCTTTTTCCGAATGGCAAAATCTGATACTTTAAGACTTAGGACACAGTGCTTTGTACCTCTAAAGAAAAAGCAAAATTGAAAAATAATAGGCCAAAAATTGAATTTGCGAAAAAAAGGAGCTTAACTCTTTATTTACTGCCTGTAATTTAAAGTACCATTATCTAATTTAAAAAAAAAAAACTCTTCGAAAGTCTTCGGATATGGAATAAAATAAGTCACAAAACTTTCTGTGACAGGTAACATATGGGTCATATATGAACATGCACTCATGTATAAACAAAATGAGTTTTTTTTTCTTATTTCAATTATCAATTCCAAAACTATTTTAACTTACCTTTACTGGAAATAAATGGTCCATTAAAGGGTTAAGAGATAAAAACTATTCCAATTTTGGAGGTTTATAATATTGTCAAAAATGAGTGGGACAGTTTTTATCCCACAGCCTCTGAAGGGGTTAAGGCATTTTATATCTGATTCACAGAAATGTATAGCAACTACTAGGCTTTTCGCAGAATATTTTACAGAGTGGCAGAATACTTAAAAAATAAAGCTTAACAATTTCGTCAACATCTTGAAAGTCTCATTATGAGAGATCTGGAAAAAAGGGGCATTTCACATGAATTTGACATCATTTGTATGAAGTTTGACTGTAACTAATTTTAAATCAAATTTACACAACAAAGAATCGCACATTAAGACACAAACTCAGCTACCACTAACAGAAATTTTTTCCCTGAAGGCGTAGGAAGTTCTCAGCTTTGCACATGTGCTTTTGAATAATGTATATTATACGGGGCTGCCAGTTATGCTTTTTGCAAAATACTTTAGAGTCGCAGAAATTAAAAACTAAAGCCTTCAGAGTTTTTGATAATTTTACCTACATTTTAAAAGCTTTTCCACTAGAGATATTTATTAAAGTGGCTACCACTAGAAGAAATTTTCTCAAAAAAATTAAAAAGTTGACAACTCTGGTAGCATGTTGTAGATAGAATGTTAAAGATAAAATATTATTTTACCACTTCTTATGTATGAAGTGATTTTCAAATTAACAAATAGCCACTTTACTACAAACTGTGGAACGAACGTGTATATAAATAATAATTTTTCCCCCCTGATAACTAAGTGTTTTAAAAGAACTGACGTAATCAAAGAATAATCAGAGATACATATTTTTCTCCTTTTCTGCATAAAAAAGCTATATTTCGAAAAATCCATTGAATCAATATGAAATCAATCAGGGCTTTAAGAAAATAAAAGTGGTAGAAATAAAGTGATACTAGAGGCTTACTTCTGCTTTTATGAAAGATTTTTCTAGAATTTATAAAGAGGAATTAATTTTTTATATATATATATATATATATATATATATATATATATATATATAATCTAAGAGAAATAACAGATAAAAATGAAATAAAAGTCTATTTTTTTATTATTTTAGCAACCCTTTTAGTTTTTAAAATTTTACAGTAAATTCATTTTGATAAACAATCTAAGTAAAGCGACATGCTTAAGCCTGTTGTTGCTTAAAGAATCGTAACGAATCGTAAACGTTTAAAAGCAATAAATTATACATTTCTGGTAGTATGTAACATTTGTTAAATTAGTGTTGCCGGACTAACTACACTGAACCGGAAACGGTTATTGAATTACACTATTCAAATACTAATTTCGGAGTCCACTAAAACTAGTCCAATGATAAAAAATACAAATAATAAATATCTTATCAGATAAAGATGATGTGTTTGTCTTAATATTATTATCGTCATTTCAGAAGATAATTTTTTTTTCGTGAAATAAAAAGTAAGAGTTATTGTAACATTAAGCTTCTTATCAAGCTATAAAAGGATAAATACAAATACAGAAGAATGAAAAAGAATTTCTATTATTGATTGTAATTTTGGCATCCAAGATTGTCACTTTAGTGTGATAAAATAGACATTCCTTTTGTGAACTACGTTTTTTTTCTGAATTAATTTTCATATGGTACCTTTGCGTGTTATAAAAAACCAACTGAATGGTGCCGAAATTTCGAATACTTGCTCACTCTACTGGGGCTCTCTGTACATGATGACAATTATTCGATGAGTTTCAGACCCTTACAAGCAGAATTTATCAGGATATCATAACTGCACTCTGAACCTGATCATTATTTGGGCTTTGTTTCTGATGACAATGCTCAAATCTAATCGTTTACTGGGCTGCTGACCTGATTATTATTGGGACTCCGTACCTGATGGCTAAAGTTTAAATAATTCGCTGGGTTCTGTGCCGGATTTGCTCTCTGAAAATCGCAACAAACTAAATTGGGTACTTGGGACTAATGCTGTAATATTTAATGCAGTAGTAATTAATATACAGTAGAATTTGTCAGTTTGTTGCGATATTATGACTAGGTTCTGTACATGATAACAATGCAATTGCTAATCCTTTGTTCGAATCTATATCTGATGTACTCTGTACGGAGCCCAGAAAAAGAAATGGGCTAATGCTGTACTCTGTAACTGATGATTATTGAGGTTTAGTACCTGATAATAATTCAAGACTATTAATTAGCTGTTATCTGTGCTTGATGTACTCTGAGGAGAGCCCAGTAAACGAAATATGGCTACTGAAATTAATACTTAACTCTGCATCTGAAGACAACGCCAAAAAGTGTTGAGGATTAACTAACGTTTCGGGTCCTTACAAGCAGAAACAGAATTCGGTGATAAGGAGAATTTATAGCGATATTATTGCTAGGTTCTTTACCTTATGGCTACAAAGGATCTGCACTTGATGACAATGTAATTTCAAATTGTTTGCTGGGCTCTGTACCTGATGTACTCTGTACAGAGTCTAGCATATGAAGTTGAGCTACCGAGGCTAATACTTTGCTCTCTAATTAACGATAATGCAAGTTCTAGTCGTTCCAGAACTTTAAAAGCAGAATTCAGTACGAAAAGAATTTACTGATAATTATATTTACGACCAGCTAAAAAAGTGTAATAGCTAAAGCTTAGATCTCGACGACATTGCAAGATTTAATCATTTTCTGACTACTATAAGTAAGAAATATTCACTGTAAGGAATTTATTTCAATTAACTTTTTTGCCACTCTTCGTTGAGCTAGGGAACGCTTTCAAATTTTAACTGGGGCTTTTTGCCTGTTGCCACCCGAAGTTGAAATTGTTTTTTAATTATTACAAGTATCTTCAATTATTACGAATATTGCCATATTAAATTCATAAATTAAATTAAAATTATGCATATCTTCAGAAAATATATTTTTACGTGAAAATAACACACTGTGTTTAAAATAAACTTTTAGGAAAATTAAAAAAACTAAAACGGTTGCTAAAATAAAGTAACTTGACTCATAAATTACCACTCTTTATAGATTACGTATAGTATAACCAACTGTAGCAGGCAGTAAACATGCTAAAGCAAATAAATTTTCCGTGATATTTTCAACTAAACTTAAGAACATCACCATTTCTCTATATAATCTTACATATATTTGTTGGAATCATTTTATGTAGTAATGGACAATATTCTTAGAATTCGAATATATTAATTGTGAATATGTTACTTTTGCTACCAATAAGAAATATATTTTCTAAAGCTACGGAAATTTCGTAGTCGTTCGAGGGCATGAGTAATGCCTGAAACTGGAATATATTAATTGTGAATACGTTACTTTTGCTACTGATAGGAAGTATAATTTCTAAAGCTGCAAAAATACCGTAATCGTTGGAGGATATGAGTAGTGCCTGAAACTCGAATATATTAATTGTGAATACGAAACTTTCACTACCAATATGAAATATATTTTTTAAAAATATGGAAATTCTGCAAACGGTGGAGGGCATGGGTAATACCCGACACATGGGTAGCTGAAACCCTCCATCACGGCAGATGGCCATGATTATAATCAACAGATATTTCTTTGCAGATCACCTGCTGATTATTTTTCATCAAAAAATAAACAAACAAATGGAGAGAAAATTGCAGAAACTTATTTTTACAACATCTCTGATTTTGACCGAATGAAAACTAATAAGGTGAATCCAAAGAACATTACAAATAAAACAAATTGTAGAGAATTTTTTTTCTGTTACTTGATTACTGGGGTAACTGTACAGGGATTTCTGTCCGCATTTTTTAGTATTATTGTATAAAATTCAACTTTAAATTTAAATATCATAAATTTTTTATGCATAATCTTTACGGACATTATATTTGCGACATGTACGTTGGGCTAAAATAAATATTTGCTATAATATCAATAACCAGGCCCAGAGACCGCCCAAGGAAAAGGTGGAAAGACGACGTTATTGACGACGTGGAAATAATAAAGATTCGTAGTTGAATAGAGAAGTCAAAACAGAGAGATGTAGGGAATAGAATTATGAAACAAGCCAGGGCCGACAAAGGGATGTAGGGTTATAGAAAAATAAAAAGAAGCAATAATACTATTTATTTAAATGCGTTGAGGTAGTAGAAAAATTTCTACTTATGAGATAATGCTGCAGATTCACTCTGTAAATTCTGCAACTGGGTCTAAGAAGATAACACTTTCATAATACCAATATTGAAAATCACCAACAAACTTTTTCCATTTAGGTGTGACAAAAACTTAATTACACAGCTACTGTTTCGCGTGCTTTCTTAAAAAAGATTCTTAGTAGTTAATACATTATATACTACCACGATTTCTAAAAAGATAACTTAAACTTATTAATAGTTAAAAATTGCAAACACTTTTGCTTTAAAATTCTTTAAAAAATGGCTCAAACTTGTTGTAAAAATGTTGCAAGTTTATTTTTATGAATTTTATTTTTAGGTTTTATTTACTGGTGCAAATGGCTTGTATCATACGCATACATTCAAATGTCGAGAAGAACGACAAAGAAAAGATTCGATTTGTACGATGAAATGGCAGATAATGATCCCGTTAAGGTATCTTTCATTTCAGCACCAGAAGAAATTGCTTTAGAATCTCCTTTAGAAGAAACTAAACTATATACTGTAAGTTTCCTCAGGTATATAATTTTTTTTTTATTAAACAGTAAAAATCTTTCATTATGGAAATAGGAAATGAATCCTTTACTCAAAAGTATGTCAAAGAATTTTTGAGATACAAAACAGATTATTCTTCAACTTTAGGTACATAAAGATTATGCGGTTACTCAAATTATTACGCTGCAGTGTGCATGAACTTATTAAAATATTTAGGAGCTTAGCTTCCTGTTCGACGATATGCCAAAGCACTCAGCTTCTTTGTGCGTAGAAATATTTTTTATTATTAACAAAACTTGTGCATTATTATTAATTTATTTCTGGTTTAGTAAAATTTATTCATAGTAATTTTGGCCATTTCGGTTTTTAAATAACCCCGGGAACAAATATTTTGCTGCATTTATACAAGTGCTTGATCTTCCTTCAGCTCCACCTTGTCTAACAAGTCTATTTTATTCTTGATGTGTGTTTAAATTATTCATACTTAGAGGTAGCATGCATTAATTTAATTCTAATTTATTAAAATGCTCATAGAGGGACTGGAAAGTAATGTCGTTTCGGCGCATTCAATATTAGTTTGTCTTAAAAACCAATTCATTTTTTGACGATTCATTTTCGATTGCGCATTGAAAGGTTGTTGATAACGATGGTGAATACGTTATTGATTGAAAATAAAATCTTGATAACAAATATCAAATGCACCGAAATGACATTACTTTTCGGCCCCCCCCCAATATTGCAATAATATTTGAAATCACGGAAATTCCGCAGTTTAACAACTGGTATGCTGGGGTTATGCTGCCCATAAGCCGGAACTGTTCAGGCAAAGACAATTCCTTGGGGGTCTCGAATGATTCAATGCATTATTGGTAATTAAAGTTTGGCCAAAAAATGTAAATTTCTATCAGGGCTATGAAAATTTTTTAATTCTATGCGTTGCAAGATATTGAGGACAAGAGTGAATTTTTAGTGTTCATTCCGTATAACTTATTTTTATTATATACTTATTTCCTATACTTATTTATCTAGACATCTGATGAAGTATTTTTCTATGGTGTTAACTCAAAGTCTGAGTATTTTGTAACAAGAATAATGAGAGGCGTAAACAATGAGGCTGAAGCTTGGATATACATGAAACTCAGCAATGGAAAAGTGTACCAACTCAAGCAAACCACAAATTACCAACACTCAAGTTGCGAGAAGAAAGTGTTTACGTGTGGCGATCTCCAAATGCATTACATAACACCTATGAGAAGATGGAGAATCTTTTTCAATGGTTTATTAAGGTATTTCATCGGGGTTGTTCACGGAACGGAGGTTTCGGAGACCGCTCCAAATTTTTTCAACTTTTTAAAAGTTCATCATTTACAGTTGTTAATCGTTTAACGGTTACAACTTCAATTGATTCAGTTCATAAATTTTTACGTGACGTCATTATTCTTTGCTTAATGATAATTTTTTTTCATCAGTAATTTAAAATGTTTCTTTCAGAAAATTGAACTACAGTAAAAAGGTTTAAATTTTAATGAATAATAAAAAAACAAATCATGATTTTTACAAAAATCAGGGTGCATTCATACTGAATATGGTTTGATAGTTCTGCTTCGAAGGAACCAATCAAATTCTCATTTTCTAAACGCATATTTTGTAGGAATTTTTATTTTAATGAAAAAAGGACAAAAAAATATTGTCGGTGATGAGCTAGAAAAATATTTTGAATTAAAATGAAAAGTTTGCTTTCAAAATATTTAAATCAGCATTGAATGAACACAAAATTGTTTATTTATAGCAAAAAGACAAAGAGTAGATATCTCAACTCTTTTTCTAAAATGGGAACTGATTAAATTTTTCGGTTTGTTTTCAAACTGCATCGATTAAATAGTTTAAAACCGCACGAAAAGCTCCGTGCCGGAAAACTGACCCATTCCTCACTGTTTGCCATAACGTGACACATGAAAAATTTAATATTTCAGTATCGTAATCGTATTTTGCAAGTTGTTGCAAGTCGTAAGTTGTAGTTCTGTCTTAATAAATCAAAATTGAGTTTATTAACTGAATAGTGGTGCCATAAAAATTATTTTGATTTCAATATATTAGCAGAAAGACAACTTCACCGCTTTTACCAAATGTGCCGCTTTTATCGCTTTTCATGCTATTTGGCATATGTTGATCTGAAGTGGTGGACAAAATTATTTAATTTTTATCAAAATAAATATTTCTACATTACCTTTGCTATCACAAAGAAAAATATTTTCTGAAACAGCAAAAACTCCATAGTAGGTTGGCAGGTACGTACTTGAGGGTTTCTGTTTCATTTAAATAAATTCAAAAACTGATGAAATTATTAAGTACCCAGATCTCAGCTTTTTGAAAAAAGTAAGAGTCTGAGTATGAAAGTTTCGATTGTTAAAGGGTTGAAGATCATAAGACAACTTAATCACTTAATAGTTAGTCAAACTTGTCGAGTCGTTATAAATAACAAGATTATAGTATTAAAAATATTCATTTTGCCATAACTGTAAATTTTTTGTGAGCAGAAAAAGCGAAATGCAAACCGCTACTAACTTCCTACGATTTTCGGGAAAATTTCTTCGAATTTTGTTTTCATTTATGATTCCTTGTTCTATAAATTTTATTTAAAGATATTTTACACACCACTACTTCGACTTCAAAGTTCTTATGAAACATGACTTAGTTGCTGATTTTTTGAGGGTCATCCCTATAACAGAGTTGCAGACAAGGTAGTTGTCAGACTATCTATCGCTTCTATAACCTTCTCTTTATCGTTGACAGATATAATTTGCGGATGTAATTGTGTGGGCTGATGAAAGGATTATATCTTTTTTTTCCGGTTTTTTAAATTTTTTTTTTAAACTGTTGTTTGTTATTTTTTTATTTATTATTTCCCCCCCTCCTTTTTTTCTTCATATGTCTATAATTTTTCTTTGTTTTATTCTTCATTTTGAACTTTTATATATATATATAAATTCTATTGAAACTAGGATCTTCCAGTACATCATTGTTGAGACTAGGGACTGTTTTCCTCCNTAGCTACCAGTAATATATATATATATATCTCGTATTGCTGTTTTTTTCTAGGGAAACTGATGACAATGAATCTGATTCATCGAAAATGGTACATGTAAAGTTTGCTCTCCTGTAAGTTGAAATTTTAACAAATTTAAGTGATTAAAAATTTATTACTGTAATTTGTTTAACGATTTAAATCTAAACTTAAACAGACCATTTAAATCTAAACTTAAGCAAATTTACAGCACATAAGTTTAATAAAATGTGCTAAGACATTCACTTTGTTTTGCTCGAAAAAATGAACAAAACCTGTCAAAAAAAGATTTCAACATTTTAGATCTGCAAGATTAGATTCAACAAAAATAAGTGGAGTAAATAAAGGCTTACTTTTAAAACTAGTGCCAGAAAGTTCAGAAACATTCCTCAAAGTTTTGACGTTCAACGAAAACAATATTCTTCAATTAATAGTGGTATCGAAAATGCAGAATTTTTTTTAACTCCTTTTACTCATTTTGGTCGATGCAAATTTTGATTTTCTAACAAATTTGATCGTAATCTTTTTATGTGTGATAAAACTTTTACGGTGTTAAATATTCCGATGCATTTAAAGCAGAAACATGACTTCCAGTGATCCACTAATATTATTAAAGTGGTAGCGAAACTTATTTTGTAAAATGGGTTCCTTGTTCTTCTTACCATAAGACGTTTTCGATAACTACAAAACTACGGTAACTCAAACTCGACGATAGAAATACAAATTCTGCGAGGTAAAATTTAATGGAAATTAACTGGTTGCCAATCGAGGAAATTTCCACTTGTTTAGGTGGTTAGTTTTCAACCACTTTAATATCGCCTGTGTAGCATAGGGTGTCACGTTAAAATAACGGCTATTATCAAAGAGTTAATATACCAGTTCGCATTACTCAGTTAAATACAGAGCGGGCAAAACTTTTCCTTTAATACGTTGTCGCACACTCAAAATTTGATGATATTGCTGAAAAACCACATTTTTCTTTGATTATTTATGACTATCATTTATCATATGATATTGATAATAGGTTGTAGGTTTGAAAGTGAAAATTCTGACATTTTGTCACAATTTTCCATAAAAACTCTTAATCCCTGTAGCCATCATTTGCTCATCACGACATTATTTTTCGCTTTCCAAAGAAACAACAACAAAAAAGCAATTGTTTGACTGTTAAATCCCCCCCCCCCGATGTATTTCTGAATAATCAACAAATCTATGCATTAGTAAAATTTGTACTAACGTAAAAATGTACGGTAAAAGTTTGTCATTTTAATTTTAATGATTCAGAAGGAATTTCAAGCTAACTACAAATCATATAATATCAAGAAATAAGAATTAGTTTTTTTTTAAAAATAAAAATGATTATTGACAGATTCGCTTATAAAGATTTCTGTTTGACATGGTAAACATTCTGAGGACAGCTATAGCCGTCATTTACCTAACTATCGCAAAAATAGAATCGTTACAGCTGTCATTTGCAGCAATGTGTTAAAATCTACATCCAAGAAAATTTTTTTTTTATCAGTAGACTTAATAATAAATATACAGGTCTCATTTTTTAGCTTTTTAAGAATATATTTCTCGTAATCCAGATGTCACAATTAGATTAATTAACAGAAAAATATATAGATATTTTTTTGTGATTTAATAGCTGTGTTTTCAAATTTTAGGTGGGCTGCCTCATCTGATGTGTTTGATTTCACGACAGACATAAAGGCTGGAGCACTGGCAGAAGGTTTCGCGAGAGCAAAATGGAAAGGATTTAAACCTCCTTTAGAATTGTAAATATCAAATCATACTCTGTTACATTCACGGGATCTGTCACGCAGTGGCAGTCTGTTGTATACAATTAAAAAATACCAAAAATATCCTTACTTGAAATTAGAGCATCAGAAAGAAAGTGCACAAAAGGAACACGGGTTTCTCCTCTGCACCTAAGGGTCAACGGATGACTCTGCTAAATAAGAATTAAGTAATTTAAAAAAATAAATAACAAAAAAAATCAAAATTTTTTATGATTCTGCAAGAATCGAGTTGATATTGTCTCAGTCAATTTTTCATGTATTATTTTAATTTTATATAAAGTATTGCAAGAATTTCTTAAAACAATTTTAAAGAAAGCAGATGAAAATTTAGTTTTCTGTTAAAATTTTAACTAAGATTTACTTATAGGAACAACTATCTTATAAGGTGCACTTATAACTTAACTAACTTATAAGGTGTACTCATAACTTAACTAACTTATAAGATGTACTTATAACCTACCTAACTTATAAGGTGTAAGTTATAAGAATCGAGTTGATATTGTCTCAGTCAACTTCTCACGTATTATTTCATGTTATATGCCGACCAGATGGCCGAGTGGTTAGCGTGTCTGACTGTAGAGCCATTGGCCGATGGTTCGAATCCTGCTCAGGGCATGGATGTTTCTTTCTCTCTCTGTGTTCTATGTCTTTTATTCTTTGTGTGAATGTAACCCACCGGGTTTGTGGTTGTGTGACATAGGCGACGTTGCTCCACCGTCGTGGCTTCGCCACAGGTGCCCACTGGGTAACGAGAAGAGAATAGCAGTTCTGGCATTTCTGTGGCCAATGGGACAAACCCCAAGTGCCAGCCATTGAAAAAAAAATTCATTTTATATAAATTATTGCAAAAATTTCTTCATACATTTTTGAAGAAAGCAGATGGAAATTAAGTTTTCTATTAAAATTTTAACTAAAATTAGCTTATAAGAACAACTAACTTATAAGGTGTACTTCTAACTTAACTAACTTATAACTTAACTTATAAGAATCAAGTTGATATAGTCTCAGTCAATTTTTCACGTATTACTTTCATTTCATATAAAGTATTGCACGAATTTCTTAAAACATTTTTAAAGAGAGCAGATGAAAATTCAGTTTTCTATTAAAGTTTTAACTGATATTAACTGAGATTATATCAACTTGATTCTTGNTTTTTTTTAACTCCTTTTACTCATTTTGGTCGATGCAAATTTTGATTTTCTAACAAATTTGATCGTAATCTTTTGTATATGTGATAAAAACCTTACGGTGTTAAATATTCCGATACATTTAAAGCAGAAACATGACTTCCAGTGCTCCACTAATATTATTAAAGTGGTAGCGAAACTTATTTTGTAAAATGGTTTCCTTGTTCTTCTTACCATAAGACGTTTTCGATAACTACAAAACTGCGGTAACTCAAACTCGACGATAGAAATACAAATTCTGCGAGGTAAAATTTAATGGAAATTAAGTGGTTGCCAATCGAGAAAATTTCCACTTGTTTAGGTGGTTAGTTTTCAACCACTTTAATATCGCCTGTGTAACATAGGGTGCCACGTTAAAATAACGGCTATTACCAAAGAGTTAATATACCACTGTTCACATAACTCAGTTAAATAGAAAGCGGGCAAAAATTTTCCTTTAATACGTTGTCGCACACTCAAAATTTGATGATATTGCTGAAAAACACATTTTTTCTTTGATTGTTTATGACTATCATATGATATTGATAATAGGTTGTACGTTTAAAAGTGAAAATTCTGAAATTTTGTCACAATTTTCCATAAAAACTCTTGATCCCTGTAACCATCATTTGCTCATCACGACATTATTTTTCGCTTTCCAAAAAAAAAAAAAAAAAAAAAAAAAAAAAAAAAAAAAAAAAAAAAAAANAAAAAAAAAAAAAAAAAAAAAAAAAAAAAAAAGAAACAACAAAAAAGCAATTGTTTGACTGCTAAATTTCTCCCCCCCCCAATGTATTTCTGAATAATCAACAAATCTATGCATTAGTAAAATTTGTACTAACGTAAAAATGTACAGTAAAGTTCGTCATTTTAATTTCAATGATTCAAAAGGAATTTTAAGCTAACTACAAATCAAGAAGTAAGAATTAGTTTTTTTAAAATAAAAATGATTATTGACAGATTCGCTTATAAAGATTTCTGTTTGACATGGTAGAGGTAGACATTCTGAGGACAGCTATAGCCGTCATTTACCTAAATATTGCAAAAATAGAATCGTTATAGCTGTCATTTGCGGCAATGTGTTAAAATCTACATCCAAGAAAACCAGTAGACCAAGAAAACCAGTTTTTTACCAGTAGACTTAATAATAAATATACAGGTCTCATTTTTTAGCTTTTTAAGAATATATTTCTCGCAATCCAGATGTCACAATTAGATTAATTAAACGAAAAATACATAGATATTTCTTGTGATTTAATAACTGTGTTTTCAAATTTTAGGTGGGTCGCCTCATCTGATGTGTTTGATTTCACGACAGATATAAAGGCTGGAGCACTGGCAGATGGTTTCGCGAGAGCAAAATGGAAAGGATTTAAACCTCCTTTAGAATTGTAAATATCAAATCATACTCTGTTGCATTCACGGGGTCTTTACGCAGTGGCAGTCTGTTGTATACAATTAAAAAATACCCAAAATATCCTTACTTGTAATTAGAGCATCAGAAAAAAAGTGCACAAAAGGAACACAGGTGTCTCCTCTGCACCTAAGGGTTAACGTATGACTCTGCTAAATAAGAATTAAGTAATTTAAGAAAAATAAATAGCAAAAAAATCAAAAATTTTTATGATTCTGCAAGAAAAAGTAAGATATAAAATATTGGGTGTAACTTATAAGAATCGAGTTGATATTGCCTCAGTAAATTTTTCATGTATTATTTTAATTTTATATGAAGTATTGCAAGAATTTCTTAAAACATTTTTAAAGAAAGCAGATGAAAATCCAGTTTTCAGTTAAAATATTAACTAAAAATTACTTATAAGAACAACTATTTTATAGGGTGTTCTTATAACTTAACTAACTTATAAGGTGTACTCATAACTTAACTAACTTATAAGGTGTAATTATGACTTACCTAACTTATAACTTAACTTATAAGGTGTAACTTATAAGAATCGAGTTGATATTGTCTCAGTCAATTTCTCAGTATTATTTCATTTTATATGCCGACCAGGTGGCCGAGTGGTTAGCGTGTCTGACTGCGGAGCCATTGGCCGATGGTTCGAATCTTGCTCAGGGCATGGATGTTTCTCGCTCTCTCTGTGTTCTATGTCCTTTCTCCTTTGTGAGAATGTAACCCGCCCTATAAACGGGTTTGTGGTTGTGTGACGTAGGCGACGCTGCTCCACCGCCATGGCTTCGCCACAGGTGCTCACTGGGTAACGAGAAGAGAATAGCAGTTCTGGCATTTCTGTGGCCAATGGGACAAACCCCAAGTGCCCGCCATTGAAAAAAAAATCATTTTGTATAAATTATTACAAAAATTTCTTCATACATTTTTGAAGAAAGCAGATGAAAATTAAGTTTTCTATTAAAATTTTAACTAAAATTAGCTTATAAGAACAACTAACTTATAAGGTGTACTTCGAACTTAACTAACTTATAACTTAACTCATAAGAATCGAGTTGATATAGTCTCAGTCAATTTTTCACGTATTACTTTCATTTTATAGGAAGTATTGCAAGAATTTCTTAAAACATTTTTAAGGAGAGCAGATGAAAATTCAGTTTTCTATTAAAGTTTTAACTGAGATTATATCAACTTGATTCTTATGAGTTGCACGCAATATTTTATGTCTCACTTTTTCCAGCAAGATCATAGAAAGGTATTTTTTAAAAATATTTATTCCATACTTTTCCGTCATAGGATTTGTTTTTTCTAAATGAGTTTTATTTTTTTTCTCAATGTTTTCTCATCTTTGTAAATTTGGTAGAGAAAAGTAAAGCTAGATTTGTGGTCGGATGTACTTGTATTGCAAATAACTAGACAGAGAAGCTTACATATATCTGATTAAGAACTTATCTGCTATGTAAATAAAGAAAAAGAAATAAGGTGACCATTCTGAATGCCTTATGATCAGATTTTCTTTAAACCTAGACTCAATCTTAATGAATCAAAGGCCTAACTCTTAATATAATAATTAATTATCGCAAAAGAGGTTTTAAGTCAAAAAATTCGGAAACTGTTGCTCCTATAGATTCATAGTTAAGTCAGTCGAAAACTTGATCTTAATTTCACTTTTACGCATTTTACCTGATTATCAGGAATTTTAATTAGCGAATCATAATCTTATTTGAACACAATTATAAAACTCGTTTATTCAAAGATAATTCCGTTCAAAAAATAATTTTTAATAATTATTTATGATTTTTATTATTTTTTTTAAATACGAATCTGAAATATTTGGGTTGTAATGTATGCACATTTTTATATCATTTTGAAAGCGTAATTCTAAGTGAAAATATAAAAATTGAACAAAATTAATAGAAAAGTTTTGGAGGATCTTTTAAATGAACGACTTGATTCAATAAAGATTTGTAAGCGTTGCTTGATTATTTGAAATTTTTACTTAATTACACATACATCGGAATCTAAAATCAGAATGATTTTTTATCTTCCAAATATTTAACGATCGTTAACGCTGCGACGTACTCTTATCAATTTACATACATTTTTTATATAGAGCAATCTATATAAATATGCATTTTCATACTAATAGGTTCAATAGAGCTGTTAACTGCTATACACAATGCGGAGTAATTTTTGGAACAATGACGTTAGGGGAGAATGAAGAAGCTTCTGAAGTTTATTTGTATGGAGAGCGAATCAGGTTCATGGGTAAGAAAATATAAGCATTTTTATATGTAACCAAGTATAGTCATAAGCCTTGGAAATAAAAATAGCGAAAATACAAATTTGACAAAAAAATACAGTCCATAAGTTAAAAGCTAATCAATTCTGAAGGTACCAGACAATCTATTTTTTTTCTAAATCTATTTGTTTCTCAAAATTCCCCTTCAGATCAATGCCACTGAAAAACAAAAATAATTCACAACAGCCTGGAATAGTTCGAGTCTCTGGTTTTAAGTGATGTAATATATTCTTCGTATTTTTACTACTTTTTAAAGTTTTTAAAACCTGAGTAAACCTTGTAGTATAAATTTAGCATTGCACAGTAAAATTATTGAGTAAAAAATTTATTCATTTTTCTTTCAGGTGATTCTTCTTTCGATAAACGAGCGCAATTTTTGCATGTTTTAGGACAAACACTCAGAGTAAGTAAAATTTCATTGTTTTTAATCAGAAGTGACCAGCGTTCTTAGAAAAAAAAACTAGTAGTAAAATCTCGAAACGAATGTCGGAAAACTTACTATGCTACTTTTTTAAATTAATATTCTGAGAAAAAAATCTCCTTCAGGGATTTTCTAGCAGATTAAATAATTGGAAAGGTAAAGAGGTGAGTTTAGAGGGTTCTTTTAGAAATTTCTCTACCCTTTTTTAATTGTTTTTTGAGGACACTGGTCAGGATAAGTTTATTCAATTATATATGCATGTTACTCAGTAAGTCTCCGGTATAGTTAAGAGAAAAAATTGAAATTTGACTTCAATCATCAACATCAAGAGGGATACACTTATTCCAACGCCCCTCTAACTTTTCGACGTCTTTTTTGTAGAACGATTTGTCTTTGCTCTCAAAATAGGCCTCAACTTTAGCGATAACTTCGTTATTTTAGCGGAATTGTTATCCCTGGAGTATCTTTTTGAAGTCTGCAATGTGCCAGTAGTCGCTAGGGGCCATATCTGGAGAGTAAGAAGGGTGGGAAAGTCATTTGAAGCCTAATTCACTCAATTTAACCAACGTTTTCACATACTTATGATCAGGGGCGTTGTCTTCGTGAAACAGAACCTCTTCGTTGCATGGGAGACCGCTTTTTCTTGATTTTCTCACTTAGTCCATCTAATAATGCCATATAATTATTCGTTGTTGATAGTTTTATCTTTTTCAAGATTGTCGATGAGCAAAATATCGTGCGCGTCCCAAAATATGAATGCCATAACCATGCCAGCTGAGGTTTTGGACATTTCGGTCAGCATTCGCCGGCTGTTGCCCATTTTGCTGAAGATCTTTTTGATTCAGGAGTGAAGTAGTGGATCCGTGTTTTATTCCATCGTCACATATCGAGGAAAAAAAATCTTTTTATCTCTCGTTAACAGTTCCAAACAGTGTTCTGAATTATCGACATGTTGTTCTTTTTTGGTCTGGTGTGAGTAAGTGAAGTACCCATTTCGAAAACAACTTGAGCACGCTCAAATTTTCATAAAAATTGTAGACAAACAATCTTCCGATTTCTTTAAGGTGTCAGCAATCTCACGCAGCTTCTCATTGCACTCTTTCAAAACTATTTTATGAACTTTTTCAAATTCTTCTGGGACAACAGCTGATTTTGGACGACCAGAGTGTTCAACATCACCAGTGCCTTTACGAGTACCTTTAAATTGAGCATATCAGTCAATAATAACTGATTTCCCTGGTACCGAGTCGCCATAAATGGTGACTCGGTAGCAGGAAAATGCATTTTAGTATCCAGCCAGAGTATTTTTTAGTACATTATCAGTAAATTTCTCCATCAAAAAACAATACTTAATCAATACACAAAATTTATTTTATCAATAGATTTCAAAACTGCGCTCACTGAAACAACTTGTAACCTCTAAAAATAATAATCAGAATGTCATGAAATGTTGAAAATTATTGTTTGAAAATTGCTTCTATCTAGTAATTAAAAGGTTCTGTTAGTGAAGTGGTAACATTTATGTGTCAGACCGCAGGCTTGTTGTATATATATATGTATATATACATATCACAAAAGATATATATATATTTAAAACCTGAGTAAACCTTGTNAATATATATATATCTTTTGTGATATGTATATATCATAAAAGAAAGTAATGACATTCTTTAAAATTTTCAGACTGGAAGTTTTGTTCATATTTCTGATGTGTCAATAGAAAACGTTGTCAAAGAGTATGTATTATTTAATATTAACTTATTTTGCATTAATTTCATAACTAATTTATTTATTCATTTAACTGTAGACATTAAATTTTAGGAAGGAATTTTCAATCCCTTTAGTACTAAGGTTCAGAATTTTACACTGAATTAATTTACAAAACGATAAATGAATCTGAATTGAAAACTTATTTTAGAAAAGTCAATAATATTAAATTAAAATTTTTTCCATAGTCATTTAATAATTTTTCTTACCATGATGAATTTTCAAGGGCAAATATTTAATTTTTCTTAATTTGCTTATAATTTTAGTCTGAAATTTGGTTTCTTCGTAAGGCCTACTGGCGCAATGTCTGCCGCTGATGACATTCACATTGCTGCAGAAAACTCCACAGATGATGGTGAGATGGAAAGTAACATTAAAGCAAAGTTTATCAATGAAGGTATAAGATTTGTTATCAAGGAAACAGATTACTTTATTTCATTGGTGTTCTTTATTGTTTTAAACAACTTAGTGGCTGAAAACTCTTTGTGATGTTTTCGCAGAAAAAATTACGTTTTTATGACGTACTTAATTTATAAGTTATTGGCCATCACAAGTAAATCAACACATCTTCAATTCTGCAAATTATTAAAATGACATTTTGCTGTTTGAAAATCTTCTGTTGTTAGAGAAGTAAGCAACGTGTTTGCATCATTGGTTTCTTAAATAAAAGTAATGGGGTAAAACTAACTAATAGATCATGAATGATCCCTAAATATCACATTTATCGAAAGTTTAGTAGTTAAAACATAAAACGAGCACTTTGTCAGGACTCAGCGGATTTGACAGAGAATTAATCTCCTTAAGATTTGTTGGGGGTTCGCTACAAAAACAGAATGCTACTTGATTTTGAAAGAAAATTTATGAGCTGCACTAACATTTCCGGAATGGTCTCTAAGAACCAACAAGGGTGAAAGTTTACATATATTAAGACGAAAAAGCTTGAAAGCTGGTAAAAATATCATTTTATTCTATCTTATATACGTCAGGAGTCAAACATCCATGCTAACCAAGATTGCTATAACATGTACATACCTGCCAACTTTCATTCTTTCCGAGATTGAATTTTCCAAGTGTTTGTAATACAATTTCCGAAAATCAATCATACTAAAAAAATATTTTGACCTAGTTGAAATTTGCTATAGCAATAATTAGTATGCTTTTATATATTAGCTGTACTTACTTATATGTAGTGGTGGACAAACTAAATTTATAGTTACTACTTTAATTCAAAACGTTTAATGGAATAACATGAGTTTCGCTACCACTTTATTTATGAAAATGAAATCTTCCCGGAAATCCTGGAAGAGTTGGCAGTTCTGCTTACCTGTAGGATGAATTCTTACCCTTTAAGTAAAAGCTTATTTTACTCCTCACGAAAACTATAATTGAAAAGGTTTTACAACCAATGTCTTCTGTTTTCGATCTTACTTTCAAGCTTGAGATCTTGAGGTTACAATTTAGTGTTTCTAAACTATATGTTACAATTATTCAGAAAAAAACGCTCTTTTTTCTCAATTAATGGGCAACACCAAATTATTCAATTTATTTAAATGAGATATGAAAATCATGAACTTTTCTTGAAAATCCAATTTTTTCAACAGAAACAGTGTATTTGTTTAAGTTCCTTACTAAATTAACAAGCAATTCTTATTAATTGTCAAACTCTTACTGGATTACTAGATAATGGGTAAGGGAACTAAGAAAATGAAAAATATTATTTGAAAAGCCCTTGTGATGGTGTTTCAGAAAGAGGTCGAATGGATATTTTTGCTGATTTAGTTTTTTTTAAAAGTAAATAATGAGCATCACAAATAAATCAATCATGAATAAAATACCCGTGATCATAAGATGGTGTCATCTCTGACTTGAAATTTCCTTGTTTTGTTTTTCAGAGGAATCACGCTTTTTATGTTGATTCCATTAATGGACAACATGAACGAATTATCAAAATTTAAATAGGTTTAAGAATCATGAAGTTCTTGAATATATCATCAACTGATCAAAGTTATTCTGAGGGCTTTGTAATTTGTTTTAAGGATTTTTTTGTCATTCTGTATACTTAAATAATTTTTATATGAATTTGTTGCATGAATAAACTAAACAAGTTTCTTTTTCTTATTTTCGAAAAAAAAACTGAGGAAACCATTTTAACTTACTTAACAGCTTCGTTTTTCAGGAAAGACATATAATGTGGAAGGAAGTTTGACAGGAAAAAAAGCACATTTTGAAAGTAAAAAAGGATGGCATGGGCGAGTAACAATTGACTGCGCAGAATTCAACTTGAACTCTTACAAATGTGCTGGGGTAAAACTTAGCGGGTGAGTAATACCAAGAAGCCCAAGTAAAATATTAAAATAAAGAAGCTAATTCTAGTACAGAAACAGCCCTGTTCCAGTCTAATATGCATTTAATAACTAGGTTTAAATTATTACATGCTAATAATTATTTTTTGTGCTGTGTCTTTCCGAATTCATGGATTTTTTTAAATGAATTTCTTATAAATGTTCATATCAGTCATTTAAGCTGATACTAACTTATACATTATAAATGCCTTGATATATACTAAGTCGTATAGAATTTTTATTCTGTGGTACCATAATTTCGATGTTTATCTTTATAGAATTATCACAAACCCCCTAAACAGAGTCATGCCGACCAATTCTATCGACACAACGCCTGAAGGTAAATATATGAACAGCTTAAATTTTGCATTTTATTAATTTATGCATTAAAAGCACAATTTGGATTGAATTTCTTCATACATATTTGTATTTTTCCTTAAATTCAGAGAGAGGTTGGTCAAAAATATTTTAATGCCAGCAATTTTTAAATAATTCCACAGCTATATTTAATAATTATATAGCGATTGCGATATTTATAATCAAATGCGTTTTCAATTATAATGGTATTAAATAAGCAAAGAAGATTTTAGTTTCAAACACTCATTTTGGTCAATGAAAATTTTGCATGGATAAAAATGACAACATTTCTAAAAGTCTCAATCATGATCTTTCATATTGAGCCAACAGTTTTGACCTGCTCTGACCACCACTTCCAGAACCGACTTCAAGCAAAGTTTTCACTCAGTTGAAATCATCAAGTCGTACTGCATCTATTATTATATTTTTTACGTATGTACGTAAAACTAAGTTTTGTTGCTTAGATTTTTGTTACAAACAGTTTTCATGAATATCGTTTTTCGGAGAAAATATAGTGTTTGGACAAAAATATATTTAGAACGAATTCTGTACTAAAAGATTTTACATGACAAAACTGCTGGAACAGCTTGAAAGATTATGCTTGAAATTTTACTAAATGATGTCATTTTTACCCACCCAAAATGTGCCTCAACGAGGAGAGGGAGATAATGGCGCTACTTTTTAGTTTTGCTATCAGCAATTTTTAAATCGTGCTATAAGATTGCAATATTTATATTAGAATGCTTTAATAATTATAGCGCTATTAAAAAAGGAAATAAGCTTTTATTGTCTTAGATCATTTTGTCGAAACTTTTGTATGGGTAAAGCAAATGCCATTTCTAAAAGATTCAATGATGATCTTTCAAATTGCGCCAACAGTTTTTCCCTATAACATCTTTCAAAACATTTGTTGAAGATTGTTGACGTTGAGTTAGTATAAAAGTGTTACCATAATTTTGCTCAATCACGTTACGTATTAATAATGTGTATTATTTCACGAATGCTTTAATAATATACACTGCTCAAAACAATTAAAGGATATTGAGGTTGTGGGTTGATCTTGCANTACATGGTAAAACTGATGGTGTCTGATTTACCCATGCAAAGTTCAGATGAACCAAAATGAGGAGAGGAAATTATTAACGTCCATCATGTTTTAATGCCAACAATTTTTGAATAATTCTACAACTATATTTAATAATTATATAGCGATTGCGATATTTATAATCAAATGCGTTTTCAATTATAGTGGTATTAAATAAGCAAAGAAGATTTTAGTTTCTAACACTCATTTTGGTCAATGGAAATTTTGCATGGGTAAAAATGACACAATTTCTAAAAGTCTCCATCATGATCTTTCATTTCATCAAACTGTTGGTACAGCTTGAAAGATTATGCTTGAAGTTTTTCTAAATGATGTCATTTTCACCCACCCAAAATGTGCCTCAACTCAACGAGGAGAGGGAGATAATGGCACTACTTTTTAGTTTTGCTATCAGCAATTTTTAAATCGTGCTATAAGATTGCAATATTTATATTAGAATGCTTTTATGGTTATAGCGCTATTAAAAAAGGAAATAAGCTTTTATTGCCTACGATCATTTTGTCGATGCAACTTTTGCATGGGTAAGGAAGATACCATTTCTAAAAGATTCAATCATGATCTTTCAAATTGTGCCAGCAGTTGTTCCCTATAATATCTTTCAAAACATTTGCTACTAAAAGAAAGATTGTTGACACTGAGTTAGTATAAAAGCGTTACCATAATTTTGCTCAACCTCGTTACGTATTAATAATGCAGATTTTAAGAATGTGTGTTACTTAACGAATGCTTTAATAACATACACTGCTCAAAACAATTAAAGAATATTATACGTCGTGTATAAAATAGCTGTATAAGCAAGTTTTTTGTGTGCATAAAATGTAAGAAGAGAGTCACGAATATAAATTTTTCAAACTTCGCAGTATGCAAATTTGAGTTTAACGTCGTCGACGACGTTTTAGTGGCAACGAATTTGATTTGGCTTTCAACTTAATGTAAGATAAAGTGGAAAATAATGAGTGACATTCAGTAAGCGTGTAGTTTCGATGAATTTTGTGTCTCATCGAAGTCTATAAACCCAATCAGGAGCTGGGAGAGTTGTTGGCCAATTAGAAAGGGGCCAAACTCAAGCCGAACTTGCAGAAGCCATTGGAGTTTCTCAAAGTGTAGTTTTCAGGATCTGGAACCGTTTTTTGGAGACTGGAAATGTAGGCCGCTGATCAAGGCAAGGGCGTTGACGTGCAACAACACCCAATGGAGACCATTATTCAGCGCTAATGGTTTTGCGTACGTGCATGAAAGTGTAAGATTTAGAGGTGGGGGAGTGATGGTCTATGCTGGCATCTTCATTAATGGGAGCACCGATCTCCATATCATTCGCAATGGAGCTCTGACGGGTCACTAATATAGGGATAAGATCCTGAGACCTGTTATAGTCCCTTACGCTGCAGCAATTGGAGATGATTTCATGTTAATGGACGGTAGTTTTAGGACACATCGTGCTAACTTGGTGAATGATTTCTTTTTGGAGGAAGGAATCATACGAATAGGTGGACCAGCGTGTTCGTTCTCCGGACATGAACATAATAGATCTTGTTTGGGACATTCTAAGCAGACAAATTTCTGGACGGCTTCCATCCCCGCAAGCTCTGCAAGAATTGGAAAGATTTCTTCTGAAGGAGTAGGACAGAATACCCCAGCCCCTTATTAATAACCACATTGACTCGATGCCTCAAAGATGTTCAACGTCGCCAGCCGTTCGGGGAAACCATGCCCTCTACCAAAAACGATTTTCTTTTAAGAAAAACAACTTTTTTTTATTTGTTTTCTCATATGCTGAATTTTTTCCTTTTTGAACTCAAATGCTTAATAAAACGCATTTTTTTCTGCCAAACAAATTTCATTTTTATCTCATATAGCCTACTAAGTCTCTTGATAATGTATCAATCATTCAAACAATTCTCCACGTGCAAGATCAACCCACAACCTCAACATCCTTTAATTGTTTTGAGCAAGCAGTGTATATTGTAAAAGCAATTTCTTATAATATATAATATTACTATTACATTATTTGGATCAACTGTGACATTTGTTTCAGATAATCCATTGGTCGTGCATTTTGCTGAAAAAATATGCCAAGAATCATCCATGACTGGTGGAAAGGGTTCCTCTCTTGGCAAGCTCACGGAACTGAGCAAGGAATTTCAAACTGTAGGGAAACATTTCTTTAAAAAACTAAAATTTGATTTTGAATTCAATTCAATTGATAGTCAATTTCAAATGTTTAGTGATGATATGTACGGAGATCTTTACATCTTTTTCGTGCCGCGATCTTAGTCAAGGAAAAAAAAATTAGTTTTCTGAATATTGACCAATTTACGGGAATCTTTAATTTGCTGGCATTATATAATTATCTTTGCCATCAAAACTTAACCGCAATTAATTTATAAAAAAAACTCCCAATTTGAGCCATTTTTTTATAATTTAAAATTAAATTATAACACTTATTATGATTCTATCTAATGTACCGTACGCCAAAAAAAAAATAAATAAATCAATTCTGAGCAAATGTTTAGTAACTACGCAAATATGATAGCAGCATCTCAACTGCAATTAACTACTCAATAAAGCTGCTATGCATATAAACTGAATGATAAATTTCTATAAGCTGTTTGAGCTTAGAAAATGCATATGCTCTTGATCATGGTCTCAACAATATCTAAACATAATCATAGTCATGCGGTTGCTCGAGGCTTTTTACCTCTCCATCGTGTGTCACTTTATTTTGAAATTGTTTTAATCATGAATTATTTAGATGAAAGCGGAAAAAAATAATATCTAAACAAATAGAAAAGATAATAATTGACTTGATAAATCGTAAAATAGATGCTTGGATATCATTGGTAAATATGCCGCGATTGCAGGGCCAATAAATTATTAGAGCATGGTGATTAGATTCGACTGCCTTGGTGCATGATCTTATAGGACCCTTATTAAATCAATTTTGAGCCCAAATGGGGCCAAGGTAAAATTTTCGCTAGGTTTACTACACTTCAAAAACTTAAATACTCTATAAAGGTAAATTTTTGCAACACCTTTCACTACAGCCATTCGAAGGCTTCTGTTTTCTCGCTGCCTCTCTTCATGCTTCATGCTCTAAATTGTTTTTGTTTGAGCTTACCATTTCCTTTCGTTAAATAGAAGGGGAGGGGGTGCCGCATATTAGGTATATATCACATATTAGGCACCGCATCACTGCTATCAAGTGTAAGCTTTTAGCTTCATAGTACAAATATAAATTTTTTTAATCTGAAATGCGGAAGTTTTATTTCAAAAAATGTGTTAAAAAATTTCAAAACCTTTCTTTTTCAGTTTATTGTTCCTAACGGTATGGTGGTGACCACAGCAGCTTACCTAAAGTTCATAACTAAAGATGTACTTAAGGAGATAAAGAATCTTGAAAATGTTCTATAGTAAGCAATTTCAAATGTTCTGCAGTTACAAATGAAATCCTGTCTGCTTCTTTATGGATATTATAAATTGGAGCTCTTCATATATTTTTTAATATAATATGTATATATCTTAATTTTATAATCCATCTATACTAATAATATAATATATAATTTTTAGAAATATAAGTTTAGTGTATTATTTGTATAATATATAAAACTTATATTTTTTTCGGAAATAAGTAAATATTTTTTTAGAATATGCCGCGAATGATCGTATACTAAATATTATAAGCAATTTCAATCGCATTGGTTTTTCAAGCCAGATGTGTTCTTGATATTTAATAAAGTAATTAATTGCTTTTCAAGACTTGGATCAGAGAATCTTTTAAGCTAAATATCAGAACCAAACAAAATCAGAGCTTAAATATCATTTCAAAATGAACTACAAACAGGAACTTGAAATACGTGAAAGCTTATTTTCTAATACAGGAGACACACTATCTAGAAACCTGCCTAAAAGAAAATTGAGAAAAATAACGATTGTTAAATGCAATTTTGATTTGAAATAATGCATTTGAATCAAAATTAGCTTAGTTATTAGTTTTTAAGCTTAAGGAAAAATTATTTCAATTGTTCATACACACATTGGTTCTCACACAGAATTTTCACATACCACTTCCTGACTAATAATTTGTTTGCCTCTGTGGCCCGACAAAGGTTAAATATTAATGTATACATTTTACTACCACTTAAATAATTAAAAAAAAGTCTTTAAGAACAAAAATCAAATTAGAGGATTTGGTAAGTGCCCAGGTACCCAGTTTTTGGTTAATAAAAGCAAAAAAGGATTTGGTAATCCGTCAAGCACCGATAAAAATTGGCATTCATGCCAGGTATTTTCGATATTACGGAAATTGCAGCGTCTTAATAAAAATGTTTGACCTGGTAATTACTTTACAAAACAAGCAATCACAAGTTTTAGTTTAATTTAAAGCTAACTTAATTCTTAGTCTTCAAAATTTCTATTTTATTTTCTATATTCTATTTTTAAATAAGATCTTGTTAATCGTTTTTAGAACTACTTGAATTGTTAACATGAACGATTATTTAAACTGTTAAAATGTCGCAATAGTTTATACAAATTGTCTAATCTAAAATAAGCGAAAAATTAAGTTTTCCCTCAACTATTTTAATTTTGATAAGACGCTGTGACCATTGAAATTACTAAAATAAGATTTCATGAATTTTATTATTAGTGTACTCATGTATTTATATATTTCTAAACCTCTAGCGGAAATGTTCCTGGTGATATTAAAGAATCATGCCAAAGGTAATTTGTTTTTAAAATTGCAAAATTGTCGAATTATTATTTTATTAGACAATTAATATGTATTATTACACATATTACAATTAATATGTATAATTAATAAGTATTATTATTTTCATATATATTTTTCATTTATATTTTTCACATTTCATTTCATTAATATTTTTAGGGTTATGGATGAAATTATAAAATCGGAACTCTCAAATGAAATCATGAAAGCAATTGAAAGCATGCTTCAAAAGCATTTCTCCGAGAAAGGTGTTATTCAATTTGCAGTGAGATCTTCAGCAACAGGTCAGATACATAGTTTTTATTGAATCAATTAATAAATGACAAAATGATTTTATTAGAAAAAATAAACTATAACTGTTGCTTATGCTTAGAAACAAAAAAGTATTTTCAAAATTGAATTGAGTAACAAAATATTACACTTAATAAGAATTGAATTACTTTTAACTACACATTGCTTCACAAGCACAAATCAAATAATAAAATATTATTTCACAGGTGAAGATACTGAACAAATGTCTGCAGCTGGTCAAATGGAAACATACTTGGGGGTTGCAGGTTTAGACGATGTAAGTGGATTTAATATATTGAAGAGTTTTGTACTAGTTTTATCAGTTTTGTTTGAGTAAAAGCAGGTGCATGCGTATGGAAGATGCAAAAATTCATGGGATGCCATAATTATTTAGCAATCAAAACTGACATTCCTCGTTCATTTAGTTAGAATTACTTTATGTTAGCAGAGTTAGGACAAGAATCTAGAAAATTGCAATTTAAAGATGTGAAAGTTATGATATCGGAATATGTTGCTACGTTTGGCGAAAAATTCCTCAAATCTTGCTTTAATAACAATGTTTTTCGAAGACTTTTCGCCAAGGAAAATTAATTAAAAAAACTACAGTTAAAGTGTCTTAGCACTTGAAACAAAGCTATAAAAGTTCATAAATGTCATTTCGCTGTAAAGAATTATCTGGAGTTTAGAGCAGACAAATAACTGAAGTATTTTAAAAGTTATTAATTTAAAAAAAGATCAATTTGGCAACATTATTCTAAGCAGAATAAAATTATCAACATCAATGCTTTAATGCATTTTTTTAGGGGTCTCTTGGAAGGAATAAGTCCCGGAAGAAATATCTTAACCATGGAAAATTTTCCTATTATTAGCTAGTCGAGAAAAATAGCATTTTCAAATAATACTGTATACAATTAATCTTTATTATGATAGGATGAACTACTAGAAACGCGTTTTGCTTAATTTATTAACGTAAGGTCACTGGCATGGGCGAATAATAAATTTTTAAAAAATGTAATTAATTATATTATTCTCTTTCAGTTTTATGCATGATTTATTTATTGTTTACCTTTTTTCCACCCCGAATGAAAAACGGGTATTCAGCTAGTTCAGTATAAAAATGTATCTTTATTCTTGGAATCGTTCGCGAAACGTTTTGACTGTAATATATTGTTAGCAAGGAGACAAGGACAGATTTCTTTTTAAAATGTTTAACTTAAATAACTTAATGAAAGTCTCAAATACAGCTGTAATAGTTTTTGCTAACGATTTCACAAAATATAACTACTTTCAACTCCAATTTTTCTTGCAATAAATACTTTGAATAATTATGTTTAATTTTTGAGGCAAAAGAAAAGAGATATAGGCACATCTATAATTTCCAGATTTAATTGAGTAAACAGACCTTATGAATGCACTCTAATGTTAACAACACTGATAAATTTTTGTTCAGTTTCTTTTCGATAAACTTTGGCCCTCAGCGAATGACAGACTGTGCCCGTATGCTCCATCTCTCAAAAACACATCCTGGTATATGAACTCTAACTTAAACTACAGTTATTCCTGCCCTACTTTATAAAAAAGTAGCAGAATTTGATCAAAACCTCCTAGAGGAGAGAAAGCCTCCGCAGGGGTTACCATAAACGAGAATCGATCTTTAGTAGTCCTAACGTTGTGACATTTTTCGTATTTTTTCTACTTTGTGCAATTTATATTAGTTACGTCGAACTACGAAATTGATCCGTACTGAGGCCTTCTCTCTTCTAGGAACTTTTGATTTCATCTGGGTAAAGCGCAATGGATAATTTCAAATTAGTGTGGTATAGGGCCACTATCCGTGAAGAATCAAAATTAATCCATTATTTATTTGGAGGAATAAAGAGCCTGTTTTATCCTATATAAGCTTTCTGGACTCATCAACCACCGAAAATAATTAATATTAAAAGTAAATTACAGTTTAACTTTTAAAATAAATACCAGGAATTTTTTAGTATTGGAATTTACTTGAAATAAAAAAGGCATTTTACCGATTTCGATTCTTTGTGTTGTTTCATTATTTTGCGAATTGATGATTACCCTGAAAAACAATTTTTTTTTGATAAAAATATTTGATCTTGCCTAATTAGTTTGTGGGGATTACAGATCTGAAATTAGTTTTGCTCCTAACGTAACAGATTTTTTTAGTTTATTATTCATCTAAATTTACAAGTTTAAAAAAAACTGTAGGTAAAACTGTAATCCGATTGCAGATATGAAATTAGGATATGATTGTATTTAAGATCTAACAGAAGACAGATATAACATGAAACAAAAGAAAAATTTTTTCCCCTGTGTTATATATTAATCACTATTATAAGAAAAATTCTCATGGTGCTGTATAACTATTTATTTCTGCTGCTGTACGAAAAAAAGCATGTTTGAAATTTTTAACGTTTTTAACTAATTTTATAGATTCTCACTGCCGTGAAGAAATGTTGGGCATCTCAATTTAGCCACATTGCAACTCAATACAAAAAGTAAGTACGATTTTGTTTGTAATAATTACTTTACGTAATATACACAATTTGCTGAAGAGAATCGTGGTGGCTCAGGGGATAGAGCGTTTGCCTTCCAAATGAGGTGAACTGGTTTCGAATCCCAGCGATGACTTGTCGATACGAATCTCGCACCCAGCTCTCACCGACCACAGTGCTGACGCTAAAATATCCTTAGTGATAGACGGATCATTTGTTAGAGTCCCTCGTTGTTTTCCTCTCCATATAATGCAAATGCGGGTTAGATTCATTAAAAAGGCTTTCACGAAGGCAAAATTTCTCCCAATACTTGATCCAGGAGTTCCCTTGTCTTCTGGATTGGGTTCAGAATTACAAGGCTACGGAGTTGAACATTAGTAGTCGTAAACCCAAAATTGGGTCAAATGCTCAACGATGGTTGCAAAGCAGAAATAAGATTTATTAAAGAAAAAGTTTACAGTTATGTCTAAAAAATGAATTTCTGTTCTTTATTATCCGAAAAATGAACTTTTTCACAGTAAATACTTATACAGCAGTTATGCGTTTTTTAATCAGTATATTTTCTCAATAACGCATTGACTTTATATTCATTTTATCCTCTTCTATTTATAAAAGCTTCTGATGAGGAGTTGTGTTAATTTTATATCTTTGTAACAGTCTATAAAGTCATCTGAGTCTTATGTATCCTTAAATAATAATATAGTCTCCACCATTCGCTGTTTTTCTTGCTCGAAATGATAGGTGATTTTTTTCTTTCACTGTTAGAATTTAAATTCTAAAATTACGGAAAAATAATCAGCTGCTTTGGTCCATCCAATTTACCTTAAAATTTACGGTTTAGAATTTTTTTTTACCTTCACAGTTTTAAAACCGTTTTGCAACTTGTATGGTTTAAAAACTATGACTACAAAACTATGCATTTTTTAACCATTTTCAACTAGCATGGTTCCAATACCGTGAAAATGAAAATTAACTGGACATTGGAGTTAGGTTTTTCGTTATGTAGTGAACCTAATAAAAAGCCTGAACTCATTGGAATTAAACCGAGGAATATGGCTTAATTAGTTCATCTTTTGGGACTATCTAACATAAACGAGGGGAAATGTTGTACTTTTGGTGTTAAGCAGCTTTATGGTGCCATGCGTGACTGAGAGTATTGTATTCTAATAGCTCAGGGTCACCAATTAGGAAGGGCAACACACTGGTAGCTATTTATGTGTTGCAGGAATGGAAGAAATAATGTTATGCTGAGATTCAAACTCCGTTCAGCTGGTCATGAGATTGACAGATTAGCTCTCTAGGCTATAATATGGGCCTAGCTTCAAGGAACTATGTGGCTTTAAAAGTAGGGCTCAGTTGCCATGGTAAAATTCTGTTTGTTTAACCGTTATAGGTGAATACAGTCAATAAGCGGTTTTTTTCTCACTGTAGTTTGAACACAATCTTTTTCATGGTTATTTGCTGCTTTGGTATATTATGGTTAAAAAAAATAGTTAAAACTTTTTATTTAATCAATTCTTCAGGGAAATTTCAAATAGTGTTGCTCTAAACCTTTCGTCTGCAATGAAAAAAATATTATTGTTTAATAAAATTTCATTTTTAGGCAGAATGGTCAGATAATAAATTCACCAATGGCAGTCGTTATACAGAAGATGGTACCCTCTGACGTGGCTGGTGTATTATTCACTTGTGATCCCCTCACTGGAAATCCAACTAAGATGACCATCACCGCAAACTATGGACTTGGAGAGGTAGGCTTTCAAATTTGTGAATTTTATAATTATTACATTTATAAATACGAGCAATTAATTAAGAATTGACACTGTGTATGTGTATAAGTTCAAGTACCTACCCCAAAATGACTGACGGTTTAAAATTTCCGTGTAAACTAAAAAGAGTTAGGCACTAGAAATTTAAGATTTGCCTCGTTCTGCTTAGGAAACCAGATGATTTATCTCGACCCTATTTTAAAATTAGTGATTAAATATGCCGACAGAGAGTGCTGCTTATTAAGAAAAACTATTTAACCATATTTTAATTAAAACTTGCTTTTCGGCGCGTGTTATTCAGTCTGAGTGTGATGCAATTACACACTGAGCAATATGACGTGTGATGCTATTAACATATGCCCACACACATATATTAAGTTGAAATGGTTTGAAATGTAACAGAAAATATCAATATATAAATTTTTCAAATAACGGAACCATCCGTAGGTGAACTTTGTGAGAGATTTTCAAATTTGGGAATAATAAAATTCCCGTACATTTCTTACTCCTTTCGTTTCTCTTTAACAGCACATTGTAGGGATTGGCTCACTGCTAGAGGGCGACACGAACCTAATTAAAGAATTAAGAAAGAGTAGATGAATAGAAGACGGCTCGTTAGGTTGGGGTTGGTTTTTCCTCTATTAGGGTATATTTTAATGTTTCTGCATTTTGGCCGCTGAGGGCTCTTATAATTTGCTAATTTTTTCGCTTCATGTTTTGAATGTTAATTAATACATTTTGTTGTAGCTGTTATTTTATAGGATTTACTTCAAACGCATTAATGCTCATCACATTACATTTTTTTTTATTAAATTGTAATTTAATTGAATATTTTTGGAATTGTCTGTTATTTACGGAACACTATTTAGAACTTTCGGTAGAATTTATTTAAGCAATGACCAATTTATAATTAAGTACTTTACAATGTTAGTTGACAACGTTTAAAGTAGAAATTATAAGTAATGAATAACTTCGTTTTCGTGGGGAAAAAACAGAGGAAATGTTATGTATGCTTGCCTTTCTTTATTGTTAATTTTTCTAATACGTTACATAATGAAATTTTGTGTATTATTTTTATATCAGTCTGTCGTTTCGGCCTCAGAAGAACCAGACACAGTTGAGCTTATGAGAGATTTTGAAGACAACTTGTATGTTCACAACAAAATAATTGGTGCCAAACGTCAAAGAATTGTACTCCAAGGTGATTATATTAACAACTTATTATTCTTAAAAAAAGTTTCAGAATAAAAAAAAGATTATAAATTAAATTATAAAGGTATTTTCATTAGGTAAAGTGTTCATTCAAAATAAAAGTAAAATATAGAAAATACACAATTATATAAAATACAGTGGTTGGAAAAAATTATGGAAACACTTCTAACTCTATATGGACATTTTTTCATTGAGCTGCAAATGTTTTGAAAAATTTTACATGGTAAAATTGTTGGCACAGTTTAAAGGATCATTCTTGAAGCTTCTAGAAATGGTGTCATTTTTACCCATACAAAACTTGGAACGACCAAAAGAGGAGAGAAAATTAATAACTAAGTTTTGGTTTTATTATCAGTAATTTTGAAATAATTCTATAGGATTGCAATATTTATATCAGAATGCTTTTTTACTTGAAGTGATATTGAAAAAAAGATAGAAACATTTAACTTTTCACGCTCAATTTGGTCGATGCAAACTTTGCATGGGTAAAAATGTCACTATTTCTAAAACTTCAACAATGATCTTTAAAATTGTGCCATCAATTATGTCATGTAAAATCGTCTAAGACATTTGCTGCTAAAGGAAAGATTGTTTACAGAGAGATATAGAAGTGTTTCCAGGCACGATATTTATATTGGAATTCTAACATAAATATTGAATGCTCCAATATTTATATTAGAATGCTTTTTAATTGAAGAGATATTGAAAAAAAGAAAGAAACATTTAACTTTTCACACTCAATTTGGTCGGTGCAAACTTTGCATGGGTAAAAATGTCACTAATTCTAAAACTTCAACAATGATCTTTAAAATTGTGCCAACAATTATGTCATGTAAAATAGTCTAAGACATTTGCTGCTAAAGGAAAGATTGTTTACAGAGAGATATAGAAGTGTTTCCAGGCACGAATCCCAGCGATGGCTGGTCGATACGAATATTCTGTACCAGGCTTGCACCGACCACAGTGTCCTAAATGACGACCACAGTGTCCTAAATGACGACCACAATGACGTAAAATGTAATCAGTAGCTGACGGATAATGGGTTAAAGCTATCAGTCCCTTGCCATCAGGCTTACTGTGGTAAATCAATACAAATTTCTCGAAATATTTGATCAAAGAGTTCCCTTTTCTTCTGGATCGGGTCAAAATTGCAACGTTACATTTTTGAACATTGGTAGTCGTATGTACACTCAAAATTATATATAAAATTATATAATTAAACTATTTTCGTCTATTATTAATTAAAATAATATAAATTAATTAATGGTTTATAAAAATTTATTTCTGTAAGAAATTATCTTTCAAAAATAAATTTTGGAATGGTATGCCAAGTTGTTCTGATTCGCTTAAAAAATTCTCGAGATATGGTGAAATGTGCAAAATAGAAAATTAGCATTAAGGGGTGGAAACTTTCAACTGTTCTCCGAATGAAAGTACAGGGCAATATTTTCCAGATTGCGAAACCCCTCCCCTTTTTTTGGAGTCATAATTTAAATTCGTCAAAAAAAGCATGTATATTTAGAGTTAAAACTTCTGTGTGTCTTATTTCGTAGTTTAAAATATCGTCCGCGGTAATTATTTAAAATATTTAAGGTGGAGGACTCAATTAAGCCGAGCCTTAGTACGTGAAAATACTATCATTAGATCAAAATGTAATCATTGTGTTCACTTTTTTATTTTGCGCATTGTACAGCTAGTGCTTTTATTTAACTTTATTTAGCTATATTTGACTTTATAATTAAAGATTACTTTAATTAAATTTTCTTAAGCTATTGTTTTTATTTAAACTTTGCAATAAATCATTGCCTTTATTTATACTTTTTAATAAACTCCTGTTTATACTTAACCTTTATAATAAACTTTTGTTTTTGTTTAAACTGTATAATAAATTATTGTTAAACTTAAACTTATTTTAGTTAAACTTAATAACCAGTTATTGCTTTTATTTAAACTTTATAATATATTTCGTATTTAAGGGAATGAATCTGGAGGCACAGAAGTACAAGATATTTCAGAAAATGATCGGAATTCATGTTGCTTAACCGACGAAATGTCACTCCGTTTAGGAAAACTGGCTGTCAAAGTAAGTATAGATGCATTTCAGGATCAAAGATATATTTCAGGGATATACTTCAGGAACTAGTCTTTTCACTGTTATTTTAAAAGTTAGTGATTCATATCAAGGGCTTCCAAAATTATCTTATACTTTCGCATCCCTGATTTCAAATTTGCAGTCGGTTTCTCTCTACGAGCTACAATTTTTATACAATCGAAAAATATATAGAGAGTGTGTTTCAAAACGTCGTTGCAAAACTTAACGTCCTGGTCTGTCATATCGTGATGAACAAAACATACATAAGAATTTGTTCTCGAAAATGCAAACTGCGAAAGTTAGCGAGCAATGTTCATAGTGGTATAGGGGGAAAATGATGTAGAACGAGGTGTTAACATGACTCTTATCAGAGAATACGGTTAAATTACCGAAAATACTCAATTTTTTCCCCTTTACAACAAAGTATTCACAACGTTGACTCATGGATTCACGGAGACGTTCAAAATAGGCAGGTGTGTCACGAATGTACTGCTGTTTCCACGATCCTGGCGATGATATACGCTTCCGATGTTACGAGCGTCTCCTACAACCCGGACTTCATGCATCCCCGCAGGTAAAAACCATGAGGAGTCAGGTCAGGGGATTGTGGTGGACACGTGATTGACACTCCTTTGCCAATCCAGTGATCAGGATAAGTCTTATCGAGGTATTCCTGCACAGTGTTGTTAAAATGTGCACAAATACCTCGATAGGATTTATCCTGATCGCTGGATTGAGAAAGTGCAATGTGCTGTGTAAATGTGCATCGTGCTGAAACAACATGCTTCGGCGAGTGGAGCAGGAACGTTAACTATCAGACCATCTATCCAAAAAAGTATGATATGTATTCCCATCGAGGCGTTGAGGTAGTAGATAAGAGCTAATAAACATGTCATCGATAATTCCGACTCAAATAATTGTGATGAAACGTTGTTGATTTACATGGGCATGTGTAAACCTTGGGTTTCATGCGCTTGTTGTGCAGTTTCAGGACACCATCTTGTGTAAAGGATACTTCATCAATAAACAAAATACACTATGTAGAATCCGGTAGTGCTACCCGTTTTTGCCAACAACAACGTGCGAATGCAACACGTTTGAGATAATCGTCATCACAAACGGTTTGCACTCTTTGGGTGTGGTAATGGTGTTGCAGGTCTCCGTGTAGTATGCACATAATGCTGTAACGATGTATGCCGAAGACGCGTTCGAGAGCTAGGAGGTTTGTGTCCGGGTACCCCTCAAATTCCGGTAGCAAAGTTTCCTCTGTGGCAGGTGTCAGTGTAGTGCGTTCTCGATCGACGTGGTTACGCACTTGGAAGGCTCCTGCCTTAGGCAATCCGTGAAACAATTACTCAGGCAAAGCACTATTTGACTGGCGTCTGTTTGGATAGCGTTCTGAATAGTTCCACTGCTCGTCAATTTCCCCCACAGCACCCTACATGTACACATAAATCCTATTGGCCAATTCTACGTTAGTAAACTGATTCGTCCTTCTGCAACGTCCTGAAACATTGCCCGCTAGCGATCGCAGTTTGCATTTTCAAACTTAAATTCCTTTTCAAATCTTGCTCGTATGACGAATATGATAGACCAGCATATTAAGTTTGGCAATAACCTTTCAAAACAACGAGCATAGTCCAAACTAAGGGTTTCTTAAAATTCACTCGAAAGACTACTTTTTTCTTTAGATATTTCAGTACTAATCAAATTTGTTTAAGGGATATGGATTTGAATGAAAATACTATTTAGAAATTTTATTTTTTTTAGATTGAGAAAAGCTATAGATCCCACAGGGATATCGAATGGGGATTTTGGAACAACAACTTGTATATATTCCAAGTAAGAACCAATTTATTTCATGTTAAGTTCTTCATTGTCAAACGTACTCCTTTGTACCAAAATTATTTTAGTTACTTATTATAGGGCACCGCGTTAATGTTTTAAGAATTCGTGTTATGAAAATTATTCGAATTGCAAAAATTTTAAATTAATGCTTAATGCTTAAATTATGCTTAAATTATAAATTAATGCTTAAATTATGTGGATACTATTATGGATATTGATAATCGATGCGGACATTCATGTTTTAGTAAAGTAGATTTGCACTTATTATAGAGCCAACAATACATGCATCCTTGTCTGGGTTCATGAAGTCCTTAAGAAATTTAAAAAATGGTAGGAAAATTTAGAAAATAAAATTCCTCTCTATAAATATGTATAACCACATACAATATATTAATATTTGCGAATAAATATACTTAGCTACAACATATGGTGTGTAGAATTTTTAATTATCAAATGAAATTTAATAAAGGAAATTTAATAAAAGAAATTTATAAATTTTCAGCATCATAATTAATCAGCGTCACTTTTGAAATTTAATAAAAAAAATGTAAAATGTGATGTTGATATTTTAATAAAAATATTAGAATATCAGCATCACTTTTTAAATCTTTTTAAGAACCGTATGAATTCTGCTAGTTATATGCACTGAAGAACTGAATCCTCATGATCACCTGCTCAATAACGCGTTGACTTTAAAAACAGCTGAAACTCCCCTGAGCATGAATGCAGCTGAAACATTCTAATAAATTCTTGATAGATAAATTCTTGATAGATAACTTCAGGCAGGTAATTCCAAATGTCAAAGCAGCGGTTTAGCAAAGCGTGGTGGTGTTTGAGCTGTTTTTCCATAACATCCCAAATGTGGTCTATCGGATTACGATCCAGTGAATTAACCAGGACATAAATTATAAAACAGCATTATGCTCTTTGAACCATTCCAACACAACTGAAGTGTTGTCCTGCTGGAAGAGTCCATTTTCAGTTAAGAAAACAGACGCCATGTATGGGTGCAATTGATGTTTAGATAGTCCAAAGCTTTCAGAGTCTGTCCTATCCTAACAATGGAGCCCAGAGGCACCAGTGAGAACGCCGACCAGAACATAATACTACCATCATTAGCCTGTGTATGACCTGCTCTTTCTTAACATGAGGGGAGAAAATGTTTTCAGGTAAGACGGTGTACCGTGACGCGACCATCGACGTGATGAATGAGAAATCACATTCTATCTGACCAGACAATTGTTGTCCACATACGCATGGTCCTGTGTCCAGGAGTGAAAGCGAGACGGAAAAGAGGAAAGGCTGGTAGTAAAACCATTTCAGTTATAGCTAGTTTTGGGGAGGAGTTTACTTACTCTTTTTTTTTTAAATTTTTCAACAATATCTACTTTATCTTGGAAAAGAAGCAGTTTTATATATATGCCAGAATTATAAAAGAAATCTTGATAGTTACAGATATTTCATTTTTTTTCGAAAAAAATGCTGGAATGAAATGTTTTGCTTACCAGGTTTTTCTCTTTTCCGTCTTGCTATATAAGGGCTTTCACCCATGCCTGTGTCATCAGAGGCTAACAAGTGGGACGGTTGTTGCGCAGTCCCATATCCTATAATATCTGCTGAACTGTGTGTTCTTAAAGACTTTCACTTGGACCTGGCATAATAATGGGATTTCAGATAAGTCACTGTTAGGCGATGATTTCGTTTCATCAAGCAGGTCTGACGTCAGTTTTTTTTATGACGCGAGGACGTCGATGTCTACTGCTAGTTTCACCGTCATTTCTCTACTTTGCATGAGTAGATCAAATAAATAGATTGCGTCAGATCGTGAACTTACCGATCGTGCAGTTTCGGACATATTCGCTCCCAGTCTTCACGCCATTACAATTTACCCTCTATTAAATTCGCTCAAATCATTCTCTTAAATTGCCCTAAATTCGAATTTTCCATTGTTCAGAAAAGTAAATGCAAGAATAATTCCTTACTTTCATCAGTAGCAGTTGAATATCACTCCAACTTAATTATGCCCCTGCACATCATGAAGCCGAGTTTGATACTGAAGTTCTCTTGTTTTATGTTAAGGGTTAAAAGTTACAAAGCAAAAAAGATTAAGGTTCGTATACTCGTTAATTACCTACTGTTTAAAGTTGGTAAGGAAATGTATGAAAAAGTGCAAAAAATGTATAGAAATGCCAAAAAGCTGTTCGCAATATATGATAACATTTTTAAGACTCATAATTTGAGTTATTTTTTTTTCATATTGTCATTTACATTTTGTTTGAATTTAGTCTCGTCCTGTAACGAGTGGAACAGGAGAAACAGATTTTGAAATTGACCACGAAATGGACGCTCCAATGAGGATGGAAGAAGATTATTTTACAGTTTGCAATGTCGGGTATGGAAGAAAATATTGCATTTTAAATACAGATTTTTATTAGAACTTTTGAAAAAATGTTTTTTCATGGAAACAAATATAAATTCGAAAGTAGGTAATGAGTTTTCTCTAATTACCTGCTTTAGGAAAAAATCCGCGACAAAAGGCAATGTAATATTATTTTTAAATGTGGTATCTATTGCTTACACAGAGGAACAATTTCTGTTTTGTTTTATGTTGTATAAGAATTTATAACAGATTGTAGGTATTTTCGCATTGCTGATTTCAAACATGCGATTGGTTTATCTCTAGTAGCTAGTTTAACACAATTTAATAATATTTTGAAATTCTTTCAACTTACTACTGATATTCCCTATTTATCTGTTACTTAGGGAGAGGTACGTTGGACAATATTACATTTCTATTTATTATGTCATGAATTAAGGTCCTAAGTTTTTTGTCGTAAGAATTATTTTGAATGGAGTAGACAAGCTGTTTATATATGTACCTAAAACTTTACGCTCTTTATAATCTTGTACATTCAGACGAAAACTACAAAAATATTATTTTAAAAAAAGTAATTTTTCTAACAAAATTAAATTCAGACCTGAAGTTTCCCCTCCTGAATTAGGTAAGATCAAATACTTGTATAAATGCAACAAACAATGTGCTCCTTCGTGTTGTCTCCTTCCGTTACTTCAGTATTTCCTTAGGTTTTTATGAAATAAGTTCCCAGCAAAATTCTTTTTTCTTACACATGAAATATAGGATTGCCCAAAAAAGGGAACATACGTAAAGCTCATAGTTTATCTCATACATTTATTGTTTAAAATGTGCTAAAAATCTATAAACAAGTTTATTATAGCGTTAATTTTAATTAAATAGAGAAGAATGATATTTTATTGGTAGTATATTTGATTAAAAAATTGTTCCCCAATGTTATTTATGATGGAGTGTTAATGTTATTATGACTTATTATGAAAATTTGAGTGGAGGAAGAGTCAAAGTGACACTTATGAAAAAATTATCGGGACAACTGAGTTCTTCTTCTTTTTTTCGATCTCGTTTAATTAGCGTGATTGTTATTCATGAATGTTTCAACAATAGATTTCTAAGATACTATGACTGGAATCTTGATGGTTAATGACGGTTCAAATAGTAAATTTCCAAGATGGAAATTCTAGCTAATTCAGCAGGCAAGAAAGTCATATAATCAGTAGCACGTTCGAACCATCAGGATGGTTCCTACTTGTCTAGTTTTGTTTTCTTAAGTTGAACTGTCATAAATCTGTCCCGAATTACTTCTTTGGAGTAATAGATTATAGATGGAGTTATATGATTGCTCCAATTGATTTTCAAGATATTGTGATTGAAAATTCTGTTGGTTGTTAAGTTGGTTACCATCAAAAAATCCAGGGTGAGGTAAAAAGCCGAATAAACAATTTTTAATATATGAATCTGATTTAAAAAGTAAGATCTCCAAACCACTGGGTAATTTTTCATGTGGCAGTTGCATTAGTTGCCACCCCCACTCCTTCCATCAAAATATTTCTGGGGGTACAGAATTGAAAATTGATCGTTCTCTGATTCTTTTCAAAATTACGATCCATGTATAAATAAATGGAGCATGATTGGGTCTTCCCTATAAAATGGACTGCTCCATGTATGTGGATGAAATCGCATTCTCGATCATAGATGGCACCACTGAGTGAATAAGACAAAAAAATTAACCTGTCTAAAAAATTAACCTGATTTCAAGCAGGCTTGTTGGTATTGGCAAATGACATTATTAACAACACATTGATTGATGTTGCTAAGTTTTTTTAATTCCGAAGATCTTAGTCTATGGAAATATCCTCTGAATGTTTTTATCAAGGAAGTTCCATTTAAGGGCATTCGGCAATAAACTGTGGACTAGTAGCTTTAGTCTTTTGTCAGCAAATTAACACGTTTGAATTGCGAATGCCATGAAGTAAACATTTTCGAGCAAGAAACAAAGAAAAAAGGATAATATTCATTTTCTATGGTCAAAGTATGATGTTTAAAGTTCATTAATTCAGATTGACTAAAATGTCACTTAGATCACTCCCTCACTCAATTTTAAATAATTTAAGTATTAAGAAGTAATTAATAATTTATGGATGTGCTTTTCAGTGAGGTGATGCCTGGAGCCTTTTCAACTCTGTCTCTTGATGTTGTTATGAAATACTTCAGAATAACTTTTGCGGTAACCATGAATATGCAGTTTTAATTAATTTTTTTTGTTTCGCAGTTTAAAATGAAGTGAGCAATGCATTATATGTAATGTGTTTATAGATATAAGTTCTATTATGCAACATAAGAGCTAGAGTGCTGAGAAAAGGCTAAAATTTCATTTCAATTGTTCCTTTAACTATTTATTCATAATTAATACCATATATAAATAAAAATCAAGGTTAAGTTTTTTAAATAAAAATCAAGGAAGATTTTTGAGCATTAAGAAAGAAATAAGTAAAAAAATAATTTGAGTTCTGCTGGTTTTAAAATTTTGTTCATTTATTAATATTTTTTGCAGTCACCGATATTCACATTCTTAGACACACAGTTCAATCACTGTGGTACAAGATATTTTGTAGTTTCTTTTAAAAGATTTTATTACAAGTGCTAAACTAATTAAAGTAAAGATAATTAAATTAATATTAATTAAAGCTAACGATTTTGATTTTTTAAATGGTTCCGAAAAACGTTTACTGTAAACCGGGGCGAGTCTACCCATCCAGGGGCTATTCTACCCATTTTAGTTTTATTTAATTTTCACTATTTTAAATTGCAAATAAAAAAATTTTTACCAATGGAGGACTTAGTTCAGACTCTAAGGAAGATGGCGCTGTAGTAGTTTGATCCGTTTTTATTTATTTGGTGTCTTTTTAACCGACCTGTTCAAACGTCTTTTGAGAGATTTGTATTGAAAATCAACCAACTTTTAGTTGGTGCTCCGTAAGTATATTATTATTATTACTATTTTCACTTTGGTTAAGTGGAAAACTTATCTAAGACTAAGATTACATTAATTTTATATGAAAAAAAAACAAAAAGAATGTAAGTTTTGCTGTTGTAAACAAAAAGCCAGAATTCGCGGGGCGAGTCTACCCATTCGTATTTAGTTTTAATAAAGCATAATAATATAATTTAGAACTTTGTTTATATTAAAATTAAGTCATTTTAAATGAATTTGAGTATATTATTTTAATTCTGCATTGATAAATTTATCATTAATAAGAAAATTTATAGGTTAAATATAAATGTAAATATAAAATATGTTTATTTTACCTATTTTTTCAATTTTTATATTACAAAATTAACTTTTTTTATTTAATGCAAGTTAAATAAATTATTATTTATAAATTATTATTACCTCCCAAAAGAATGGGAAAAGGATTTTTCATGATTCCCAATGTTTGAATTTCGATTTTGTTAATAATCTTTAATTATTATTATTTATTAATTATTTAATTGTAAATTTATATTAATTTTAATTTATTTTTATCAACAATAATCAGAAAAAAATGTTATTTTATAATGTTAATGATTATAAAAACAAAACTGTGATCAAAATGTGATAATCGATCAAATACTCAATTTGTGTTATTTTATGAATAAAAAAATGGAATATATAATAAAGTTATGAATTTTACTTCATAAATATCCTATATAGTAACTAAAATAACAATTTAATAGTAAAATTTGATTATTTACAATGTTAACATTCATTTTAGTAGAATGGGTAGACTCGCCCCATACGAGAGATTTGTCAGCAGTTCTATAAAAATATACAGTAACAGCGTAACTGTTAATATTTTCTAAAATCGATTTCACAGCTTTAAAGAGGGATAAATAGCGATTCCGAAACACCTATTAAAAGCCTTTTTTCTTTAATATTTACAAAAGTTTGACCACTTGAAAGTTGACAAACTGAAAAAATGGGTAGACTCGCCCCGGTTTGCGGTATGCAAATAAAGTGCATACAGAAAAGGTTTGGAGCAATATGAAATGGTCGGCGTCGCATGTCTTGCGACGAAGAGAAAAAAATGCACGATTGAAATTGAATTCGCCGCTAGTTACGCGTCTCTTTAAATCCCGCGATTAGTTTTGTTATTCTGTATATTGTTAAGAGATGGCGCAACTAGTTCCACTTTCTTCACATTTTCCACCTTGAGTTGAAATAAAAATCATTTTGTACTTTCTGTAATTTTGCTATTATAAGTTTAATCGTTGCATGTCAAAATAGTTCTAATGTATAAGGTTGGAAAATTATTTACCACAATATTTTTTAAACTAATTTTAATAATATTATGCAGATATTAATTTAAAGACCTTAAGGCAATTGAGTTAATAAATATGTTATCACAGCAATTAATAAATATGCATTTTTTTGAAGATAAAACTTGGGTGCATTGCAGGGAAAACTGGCGATCAGTGGACGGGACATTATATATTTCACCACCAGTAGGTCTAGCAAAAAACTGCTTCCTGCAAAAATATTTTGCATTTTCGAATTTGGAATAGAACATATATCATACCTGCCAATTTTCACTCCTTCCGAGAATGGATTTTCAGAGTGGTTGTAAAACAATACCCGGAAATCAATCTGATTCAAAAATATATTTATATTTTGATCCCGTTGAAAATTGCTTGCGTAAAGATTATTATGCTTTCATATATTTATTGTAATTATTTATATGTAGTGGTGGTCAAACTCATCTATAATTATCATTATAATTCAAAAGTTAATTGGAATAATTTGAGTATTGCTACCACTTTAAATATGAAAATAAAATCTTCCGGAAAATCCGGAAGAGTTGGCAGGTATGATATATAAATTTTTAGCAATAAAAATGCTTTTTTTGGGGTCGGAAATTCAAAAAAAAAAAAGAAAAAAAAATTCGACAGAAATTTTTTTAAAATTATTATTGCTTGAAAAATTTACCTCTTATAAATAATTCTAATTTTCTGATTTCATATATTGAGCTCATCACCAGTCAACGTTTCTTTGCGAACTTTTTTTAATGCTTTACAGAAATGAAATCGGACTAATATTTCAAAAGTCATTTTATTGGTGTTCTATTACAACAAAATAAAATATGTATAATACTTGTGTATGATAAATGTGCAGGGATGACACAGAGGACTAAAAATCTAAATAGTGTTAGAAACGCAATTCACTTTTATTCATTTATTATCTATTTAATCATAACTACCACTGACACTTTTATTTCAAAATATTCATATTAAAAACAAAATTTTCATTATACCAACGAATCACTAAAAATGTATATAGACTAGTAATACTTTTTAATTAATTAAAAAAATGTGCTTTAAAAAGTTTCTTATTATAATTTCTTTTAATTAAATATCGACATTTATTACGTAGCACATTTGGGATTTTTTAGTAACTCGTGCGAACTCTGTATATGTAGATTTTAAGCAAGAAATTTGATTTTTTTCTTTCTTATTTCAGAGGAGAATGGGCTCAGGTTTCGAAACAGTAGATAAGCCAAGATACTACCCTAGAGCGATTATGACGATGTGCTCTCGAGTGATGTTCTACGCCCTGGATGTAAATTAAAACACATTTAAATTTTTTTATTTATTATTAAATATTGTATTTAATTAGTTCTGAGCATGAAACTAACAGTCATCCGTTAAAGACCACTGGTCTTTTAATCAGACTACCAGCTGATCTCGGATATTTAACATAAAATGACATAAAGTTTTTTGTTTCATTTTTGATCTTTTTGTCACAAAATAGCATATTTCATCTGAATTGCGGCATTACGCATGCTCTCTGTATTGTAATGTTTCATTTAAATTCATTGCACTAGCTTTTCTCCTTAAAAAAAAAAAGAGAAAAAAAAATTGAACAGAGACACGTAAACGGACAGACCACTGAAAATGTACCTATACGGATTAGCAATACCTTTTAGTTATTGGTCTCTTTAGGACTCGTGTCTTATTCTTCTCTATTTCTGTTCCTTATATATATATATTTATATATCTA